ATATATATATATATATATATATGATTGGTAAATAAAAGAAGTTGAGAAAGAAGAAGAGTGCGTGTTACTAGACTGTCAAGTTCACATTAGTTAGATGAAGGAATATATTTTTTATTGAAAAAAATTATTTTGAAAAATATATAAAATAAATAAAAGAAGAAGAATAAGAAGAAAAACATGTAGGCATAAATAATATATAAAAAGAAAAAAAAAATTAGGCATTATTTGTCGTAGTGTGACTAGTGTCCCTTTAACAAATCTGTATAAAATGAAAATAAATAAAAGCTAAATAAATGAATGCCCAGTATAAATTTTAAGTATATATATATATATATATATATACACACATAAAACAGATAAATTTTAAAAAAAAACTCAAATTTATATACGTCTAAAGGCTGGATGAAAATGCAAATATAATATTATAGGTCTAATGGTGCATATTATATATACCATTATATTATGATACATATTATATATAATATTATAATGGTGTATATAAATAAATATATATATGATTGGTAAAAGAAGTTGAGCAAGAAAAAGAGTACGTGTTGTTCCAGTGGTGAAGGATATGCGGTGAATAATGATAATGGAGTAGATGTATTTGTGAGGTATATTAAAATAGTTATATGAGCATTTTTGTCTCCAAAATATATGAGAAAACTCAATGTCCAACCAACTTCCTTTAAAGGAGGGCGAATCCAAAAATTGTCCATGGGGTGGGCTACTAGTAGTAATAATATATATATTTTTTGGGCTAGGCCGGAGTTAGGTATAGGAAAAAAAAAAAAAAAAAAAAAAAATATTTTGGGGGGGTGGGCTTGTCAGTGCTTTCAATTAATTTTCATTAATTAAATCACCCCCTTGAATAGTTGAGGGGAGTTTTTTGGTAAAAAAATATAAAAGGGAATTAGTGCAAAATGCATATAGAAAATGGTGGTTTAATGCGATTCACCAAAAAATTATATATATTTTATTATATTTGTTTAGTCATTTTTTTTCCCAGGAAAGATTCAGCAATATTTATGCGTGTGAGAGACTGAGAACTGTACAAAAGGAGGGCAGCGAGGGCCATTACATGGATCAGACAACTAACCCAAACCAGGCAAAGCCCAACCAAGCCTAGACGGAACAATTAACCAAACAGGTCTGGTGAATGACCATTTTTGAGCGGATCGAGTCTGTGGAACTTGAAAATATGATTTAGGTTCTCTTGGGCTTTAGATTGCTTTGTTCGGTCACATTAGATGAATTCAGATCCAAAGCAGTACAATGACGGTTAGATCATTCACAACTGTGGCTGTCTCACGTTTGAATGATCCCACCGTCCGTGTTACGACACAATAACATCAGAGGATCCAGCTCTAGATGAGATGTGCTGGCTAGTGAGTTTGTTTTCAAATTTTTATCGACTTAAGCGTAAAGTAATTAAGGTGAATTAGATCACGTAAAACTTCCTCAATCACAACTGGTGTTCAATGATTGGAGGTAACACATAATAAATACCCTCGAATATTATATACTTTATCATACAACGCTTTCTCATATTGAAAATAACTAGGGCAATGATATCTTTTATATTTGATTTGTGTGTTTGTGCGTGTATTTATTATTTTTTTTTCCTTAGCATCTTAGTTTGTTACATCTTTTTTAACCTACAAGGAGTAAAAACTCCTATGTCAAAAATTAATTACCCATGAAACTTTTTGTGTGCATCGAGCTTTGCTAGCTCTTTTCACTTTTTCCTTGTACTCTAAGTCTTGACACTATTATACAAAATGGTACTATGATACTCGAATACATATATGTCCTACCATTGTGGAACAATAATACAATGCATGGAATTAATGACTAACAGGACTGGTCGATAACAAGTTAGTTGAGCATATAAATGTTTTAGATTTTATTTTTTATTTTTTTGTGGCTCCAATTAGTAATATATATATTTTGCATTTTATACCTATTGTTTTTCTATTTATTATTATTATTAAATATTTATAAAATTTTAAAATTATCCTCACTAAAATTATATATATTACAGTGGGGGAAATTGCTCCCACTTAGGAATGATGGCAATGGGTGTGGTTCTGAATGGGTGTATCATCCCTCACCCCGTTTAAATTACCCCATCTGTTCAGTCCAAAACCGTCTAAACGGGTGCCTTGCCACCCATTTCCACTCCCATTTATGTTTTTGCACCCTGCGGGCACTTGCTACGCTTGTTTACTTCCAAATAATTTTTCTATTTTATTTATCTTTATTAATTTTTGCCCCAAACACAATTATACAAATATACAACCCACCCAAAAAGCATTATTGATCAATACTCAAAAGTAGTTAATATAAAATTCAAATTATAAATATTTCATAATGATTTCTACTGTTTTATACCTACGCTACAGGAGTGTAATTTAGTAAAATTAAATCTAAACGGGTGGGCGAGTAACCACCCCTCAAGGTTAAATTGCCATCTGTACTCTCACCGGATATAACCATCCCCTCGGGGTAAATAGTATTTAGGCCTATGTATTTCACTACACAATACAATTTGAGAAATCGATTAGAATATAATTAATTATTATATATCTTTGCCTAATTTACATTGCAAAATTACTTAAATACTAAAGATACATAAAATTAAAAAGGAAAAAAGAAAACTTAAGTCGTGGATTTTTTATTTATTAAAATTAATATGGTAAATTATTATTGAAATACAAAAGAAGTGAGTAGGAGAAAGCTACTCGGCAATAAATAGTTAAACATTATTCTTTATAAAATATCTATACAAATGCCGATGCATGTTTCATATAACAGTAAGTCGAAAATGAAAAACATTTACAACATTGTTAATTCTCAATTTAATTATTGTACCGCTATTACATTATGAATTTAAATGCATTCGGGCCTCGAGGGTAAGACCAAACATAGCCGAAGAAGATTCTGATTCTATCGATAGATAGATGAAGACACTACAATGAAAAGTAAAATAATAAATGTGCATACATATATATATATATATATATATATATATATATATATATGGTCCAAATGTGCAAGACAACTAAGCAGGGATCGAAAATGACTTTGTGAGACGACTTGACAAGATTCGGACAAAATTGACGTGGACATGGCTAGAAGTGCTAAATTATGTGGTCAATTAAAGTGCTTTTATGATGATGATATGCCCAAATAAGGTCACATGGTTATTATGATATACTGTCACATTATTTTTATTTGATTTAGATATTTTTTAGAATTTGTATTATTATTATACATATATTTTTCCAAAATTAATTGCATATTGCTGCTATTGCACATTGCACATTTGATAATACAATACAAGGACATGGTTTGTTGCTCATCCATTAGACAATTAAAGTGAGTTGAGTCTATCAAGATAGCTTAATGGAGAATTGATTCGAAAAATTTAATTGGTAAATATTAAAAATTTATAGGCATTATTCAGTGACTTAATTGATAAATTACACAACTTTTTATACAAATATGTTCATATTCGAGTTCTCCCTCCTCTTAAATTGCCAATATATATACACAATAAAAAAATAATGTTAAAATTACAACGTCATCCCAAAAGTATTCTTCTGATTAGATTATGGCTTCTCAATTTCATAAGTAAAGTTGAGTCGAGCCTATTAAGTGTGCGTGTTTTCTTCTACATTCCCAAAAAAAAAAAAAAAAAAAAAAAAATCGTATTTGTTATTTAATATATTTGTTAAACCATTTGCTATGATGCTATTTGCAAATAAATATGATGCTCATGCTAGTTGTGTCTTGTTTTTAGTTAGGGCAACAAAGAGTTTGTCATGTTATTGTAAAGTCTCTCCTCATACAACTTGTTAAATTCAGTTGAATTCTTTTTAGCACGAGTTGTTAGATTATTTATTTATTACTTTATATATATTTGCCATCTCTAAAATAAGTTGTCTTGTGAAGATAATAATTTTTTAATGTGTTGATAACATGACTAATGACTTAGCTTTTATGTTTAAAATAATATTGGAATGTCATGCTGCCGGTGCAATCTCTAGTTTTCAATATTAAAATTTTATTACCTTCCGAAAAAAAAAATAAATAAATAAATTTTATTTCTTTTTTTATTCTATCTTAATCAATGTTAAAATTTATATGCTTAAAATATGATTCTATAATCGGAAAAAAAATTATATCCAGTTACTCTGACTTGCAAATTTTCAATTTATACCTACAGCTTTAGTATAAAACATATATATATATATATATTAAAATATTTAATGAATTTAACCTTCTCCTTTCCTAATTTAACAAAACCACAAAAATTTCTAAATTACTTTTCTCCCCATTTAAAAGTTTCCTAAACCAACATTGCCCAAACTAATAAGAGCATCTCCAATTGTCATATCCCAAGCGTCATTTGCAACAGCTATTTTTGATATCAATAATTCTTTTAATCGTTGCATCAAATACATACTTGACATTTGGTATACCATCAAATATGTCAAATTTTGCATTTTAAAAAATAGTATGCTTATTTTTTTTATTATTATTTTAATTTATGAATTCCACAAACTATTTAAATTTGGCATAATGTGCATCTCCACCGGAAACTTCAAATATAAGTAAATTTAAAAGTTTATATATATATATAAATATATGTATATTTTCGAGCCAAACATATTTTACTATTCAGTTTTTTCTCCGGAAATTAAAATTTTCTGTTCACTTTTTTAATTCGGAAATTAAAATTTACTACTCCCTATTTACCTATGACTTGGTCAACTTTACTGATTTTAACAGATATATATATATATATATATATATATATATATATATATAGATTAATATGAGTACTCCGTAATAAACAAGGATAAAAAAGTGAAGCTGAGCTGTGTGCAACTCAACTTTAACTGTGGTCACTTGGCCAATGGAGAGTGACAGTGTACGGAGATTCAGAAAAAGATGATTTGATTTGAGGAAGCATTAATATTGAGCTACGCACGTTTTCACGAACCACTCGTCACTTCATTTCTCTCTCTCTCTCCATAACCCTCTCTCTCTCTCGTCTCTCCTCATCTCTTCTCTCTCTATCTGCCCTGAAGAAAAACCGAAAGGTAATGCCAAATTTCTCGGTTATTTTCAGAACATAACTCGTGATAACTTTGTGAATTGAAAAATTATATACACATTTTTTTCCTCCTTCTTTTCCAATTTTTGTGGTGATTTTATTTTTTAGTACAGGCTTATTTATTTGATTTATTGGACATTCATTACTCAAAGATTTTATTTTATTTTAATTAATACCATGTTTGTTTGCCTAGAAAACAGAAGAAAAGTAACGGAAAATTAGTCTGAGGGACCGCATTTCTTGTTCCCTGCTTTCTGAGGGTGAAAATGTGGTGTAAATTAACTAGTCTAAGTATTTTAGGTTTTGAAACTTCTCAGCAACCTAACGGTTATTCTATTTATTTATTGATTATTTCCCTTAATTTTTTTTGTTTCTTTTGATATTTTTGTTTCTCTTTCCTTTTTACGCCTGATGACTCTAATACTTAGTACTGTTGCATTAGTTGAAAAATGTAACTCTGCTTGCTTAATCATTTTCTGGATAGTGTTGTTTTTTTTTTTGGAAAATGAGATGAAGAATAATAGTAGTAAAGTTGTGAACTTTCTCAACAAATTCAAACAATTTTATTATAGGGTTTTCAGTGGCAGTATAAGCTTAAAAAACAACCCTTTTGCTTTTGTTTTTTATGGCAGAACTTTAACCAAAACAATGCAAAACCTTCCTTCTTTAGGCAGCCACTATATATATTTATATAGATATATATATGCGTGTGTATATATATATATATATATATATATATATATAATTTTTATTTTTGTTTTGTTCTGTTATGTTTTTCTGCAATCCCATATTAACTAAGATTACTATTATTTTCCTGCATCTATTTTCAACACATTATCCTAAATATTGTTGTTCATTTTAAAACAAAACAAATAATTTTGTAAAAAAGTTTCAGATTTCTACTATAAGTATAAATAGAAAATGAATTATTTAGTATATGTACTCAACATTTATGTTCTTCACAGGTCCGTAGTTAAATTTTTTATGCTTGTTTCATTGTTTTTACAAGTTTATAATGTTAATTTCTTGTTATAAAGTTTTGTACCAATAAGGTAGGTTAGGATGGTGACAGAAACATGGAATTAAGCTATTGAAAGAGGACCATGTCATTTACTACTCTATCACAGAGGAGGCACACGAGAAGTTAAAACTATGGATAACCATGAGAAGCTGTGATTCTCATTCTGTAGTTTAGTTGACCATGTCAAGGCAAGCTCACCTTCCTCCTCGATGCCCATTTCAAAAGAAGGCTATAAATAATCCAATTCATGACCACGACCCTCCAACCCTGTTCAGAAATATTGAGTCGTATCCCCGGCACCATAAATCTATATCGCAGAGCTACATCTTAGAGGAGCAACCGGCATGGCTTGATGACTTGTTGAGTGATTCGGACTCAAACTCCAAAGGGATATTCCATAGGCGATCTGCTAGTGACTCCGTGACTCTTTTGGATGGTCTTGTTCCACTACCAAGTCTAACTACACTTAATGACGATAACAAATCATGTTCTAATGAAGCTGGTAGTGGTTTGGAGTCAGCTTGTGTGTATGGTCCTAATTCCCCTAGAGGCAAATTAAACTTTCCAGAGAATGGCATAATTTCAGCACTATCAGAATATGTTTCTGAAAACCCTATGCAGTATTTAGATGGGGATATTTGTGTTTCTAGGACCCCACAACTTGATTCAGCACAAGATGCTCGTGGTTCAACTGGTGAGATCAATGCAGATACAAAGGCAGTGAAACGGTTAGCTTCTGTACCACATGCTTATTTTCCAAGTTGGACCAATATATTTTTATCCAGTCATCTAACTTTAGGGTAGCTGCTTGGTATAACATGCTATATATATATATATATAGATATTGAAGGGATCTGATAAAGTGATAATTATGTGGTTCTAAGAAAGCTTTTATTCATAGGCATGGTTCTTCAACATGACCTTTTATGTCTGAAGTTTTCTGATGTGAATTAGTTGCCTGCAGTAGCATTAGTATATTAAAATATGGTGTTTTCAATTAAGTAAAATTTTTAATTGCTATTTTAGTGGAGTCTTTGATTCTCATGTAATTGCTCTGATACTCATATATCCTCTTAGTCATTTAAGTTGATGACAAATTACAGGATTGTTGTTGATGGTTGGTTTTTTTTTTTTTTTTTTCCTACTCTTGAGCTCTACATCATCCTTAATTTCAATTATGTCCATAGGATAACAGTTCATTTGACTTTCACAACTTTTTGCATTGGTTTTGTGAAATTCATCACACATAAAGGATGGGATTATCATAAGAATTACAGGCTGAAAGCCTTTGCATGTGGGATGTGGGATGCTGGAGTTATTTGGGAAGCAAAGTCTTCGTGTGGGGTGTGTGGGATGCTCAAGTCATAGGATAAGCAATTTGCAATGCATCTATAAAAGGAAAATTGAACCATAACCAACATATATGATGACTTATCCCCCTATAAGCCTTCATAACTACCAATGAGATCTTGTTTCTTGATTCAGTCATGTGAGGTTGAATGATAGGAACTGTGTTATGAGTCTACACTATGTTCTTCTAATTACTCAGAGAGGAGAAAGCACAAACAACTCTCCATTTTGAAATGCACACTTTTAGAGCCAACCCGTCCTGGTTCAGTGCTAAGTTTATGCTTTATCTTAAGCTTAGACTTCACAGTCAAGAGAATATTATCTGTTGAATCATTGTATCCGTCTGTGCTTCTTACTCCTTGCATCGGGTCAAATTTTCAGTTGAACTGCCTGGTGTTACATCATAAAGAAATCCCAATGGTTGCTAAGGAATTTCAAAAAGGAGAGAAAGAACAGGCATACGCAAGCAGAGAGTGATCATCGGCAAGAAGATTAGAACACTAAACCAAATTGCTTGTTTAATCACTAGTGATACAGTGTAGAAAGAACAACATTCATATCGTGAACCATATAGCGACAAACCTCAAAATATAAATTATAACTTTGTGATTCATATCATTTAGTGTTACATTTCCCCACTTATCAATATTTTGGGCTTGTACCTTCTCCCTGTCTATTCTCGAAAGTATCTTGCTCCTCAGGAAACTGAGACTTAGCAGTTGATAGCTTTACCCAAGGTTCCTTCCCTAGCATTCTCCACTTTTTGTCATTTACTCTCTCTATGTAGCTCAGGTGAGCATCTATTATTTGTGGCTGTTGATCATAAACAAGAGCTTGGTACCTATGACAGACGGTAGGTTGGTTAACAACTCGATGTACCTAAAACTAATGCCTTCTTTGTAACATCTTTGGCTTTCAGTCTTTCACTTTGTTGTCACTAGCAGTCTGTTTCATATATTGCGTCCACGTTTTCATCAATTGGATTTATGAAGACGATGCCTTAAAGGGTTTTCATTGTTTCAGGCAGTTTAATGGTCTTGTGTTACTGACAGAACTTTTGCGCTGATTTGATTTATTTTTCTTTGAGCTAAATTTTAGCCAAATACCCTGGAAAGAAGGTTATATTTGTCTTTTTCTTTACCCGAGTCATCAGCAGATATATTAGTGACTCAGGTGGGAACCTAAGAAATACCTCACTAAAAATAGATGTTTCTAATGTTTGTTCGAGAACAATAAGATTCTAATTGAACCTCAATTATTTTTTTTTTTTTGATTACTGCCAGTGTTTGAGACATGTTCTATTGCCTCAAATATTGAAGGCAAATGTTTGAGTTCATGTATGAAGCCCATGTAATTTCATTACTATATGTTGTTTTCCATTCTCAGTTATATTTTGTTTTATGTTTTCCATTTTGCCGTATATTAATTTTATTTATTTATTTATTATAATTGGATTTTATGGCCTTTAAAGACATTAAATTTCTGTATATGCCCTTTTGTGTTTATTTATGCCTCTACTCTATATTATTTGATAACTAAGGCAGATTTTTTTGACACCTATGTATAATCTTCGATACAAGAATCATATCTTAAACTAAAATGGTGCTGATAATTTCTTGACAGGCACTCCGGTCAGCGCTCAAGGGTTCGTAAACTCCAATATATTGCTGAACTAGAAAGAACTGTTGATGTTTTTCAGGTAATTGTCTGAGAATGGTGTCTGATGCTAGTATGCTGTATTAATGTAATAATCTTCGTCATAATCTAGGTGGCATGCAAAGGGTTCTTTGTCATCTTTGTGGTGATGATATATATTACCTGGATGGGGTCTCAAGATTTCCATATAACAATTCACAGAAGAAAATGTAGATGGAGAATTTATGCCTTCTAATACTTTCTTGGAAAAGAAATAGTTTATTAAAACCATTAAGATGTAAAATAAAGTTAACATTGATTACATACAATATCTACCATAAACCAATAGTTTTTCACTAATATATAAGACTTTAGCTTTGATCAAAACATAATGCTTGGGCCTGACCGCTAGCTTCCAATACCCAGTTTGAGAATGCTTTGAATGTTGTGGCAATATAATGTGAACCAATTGATAAATGGGATTTATCTAATTCCACGATGTTATTGGTTCGTTTACGGATCTTATTGCTTCCGCAGCTACTAGTTTTGGTCAATCATTTTCTGACAAAACAAACATGAATGTCTCACGGTGCAGACTTTGGAGTCTGAGTTGGCTGTTAGGGTTGACTCTCTGCTTCAGCAGCGCACTGCTTTATCAGTGGAGAACAGCAAACTAAAGCAGCAAGTAGCCAGATTGCAGCGGGAAAAATTGATAGTTGATGGTGAGTTATTTGTCTTTTGTTTGTTTTCAGGGGTTCATTTGAAATTAATCGGGAATGCATACGAAAATCCAAATTTGCTGCCATTTATTTTTGGTTCAATTTTCTTTTTCCATATAATAAAGAATTTGAGCTTACAAATAAAATTGAGAGACAAATGGAAACCCCTGTCTCACTTGACTGGTTGCTTGGCCTTGATTGTATGATTCATCATAGCTCCCATCTTTTACACATATGAGTCATATGACAAGCAAAACCTTTCAAGGACTTTCATTTAAGGACCAAACATGATCCCAGCTTGCTATTTAGGGTGCCGCTCCTCCTTCAAATTTCTTTTTAGGGCCTCTTACCTGAGGATTTCACTTCTCTTACTTCTTTAGGGACTCTCTTAGGGGTCCAGATAGACAGCTCCAACATGTTCTTCGAATTGAATGCATTTAAAGAATGTCATGATTGTGCTGCACTACTCTGACCATTGCACTGGAGGCTTGTTGATCAGGTATATATTGACTTGATCAATCGAGTGCTTGCTAGTCAATGCTCAACCGGCTCAGGCCTCAACTCACTGTGACCTCAATTGGTCAAGCTTTCTATTATGTAGATCATATCGGTTTTATGACTCGTGATCGTATGCAAGCTCTCTTGAGACTCCTCTTACGTGTTCCAAATCTCCTCCATCAAACTTGACCTCATTTGTTCTTAAGCATACTGGAGTGACCAGTCCACTCCTTGCCTGTTTTGGTCCAGCTGATCTAAATGGTGAGACAAATCCTTCTACCTTATGAGGAAAGACCTCTTTACAGTGTTCTTAAAGCCAAACTTCCAGTACAAACCTTTGGGTTTGGATACCACTTGTTGGCCAGTGCGAAAGCATACACATCAAGATCCAATAAAAAATAAACAGCAAACACATAAGAATACAATAATTAATGTTATTCAGCTAAATTCTACAGAGAAATATGAGAAGAGAAAATGCACTACATACTCTAGAGGAATTATGAAGGGTAGATAATATAAGATGCACTGAACCAACACTGTTGCCCCAGTTTCCTGCTCGGTTGTACTGTTCACCAACAACCAAGCGATGCTGAGTATTCCACTTTACTTCCTGCTCACTAAATTCAATGTTGACCTATGAAAAGAGACAATCCTCTATACATTAGATGAATTGCAAAGGGTAGATAATACAAAACACAAGTGAACCAACACTGGTTCCCCGAATTTCCTGCTTCGTGTATCACTCACATGGAGCAATGCTCAATATAATTGAGCCTTGAAGCACTCCACTTTACTTCCTGCTCGCCTTCATCGTCTAAATCCATGGAGCAATATGATTGTTTAATTCTCACCTCCAGCTTTCTTGTGACTGTACCAAACTTTTTCTACAGGCCCTACAAGGTAAAGGCACAATACCCTCACCAACCTCTCTCTCACGAGTCTACAATCTCTACTTACCATTATGAGAAATCTCAACCAATTGTCTATGTATATATCTAGATCTTATGCCTTTTGGCATAAGAGCTTTCCATACAAAAGAACTTTTAAAATATAAATCTAATTATATTAGGATTGGAGTCATATCAAGTCTCAATCAACCACGTGTATATATTTGTTTTGAGTTTTGAAAGAATTAAAAACTTTGCGTATCCTCAAAGGCGTTTTAGGGCTGCCTCTCCCGGAGAACCTTGGAGCAAACTGCAAAGTGGCTTTTCAAAATTATGGCAGTGAGAAACTATGAATTGTATCAACTTATGGTCATTCAGTGCTTACGAGTATTTCAAATGCTTGCTTATCTATAATTATTTGAAAAGTAAGGAAGATAATGAAGTGGTGATGGTGAAGATAGTTTTGATCGTGATTGTGATTCCTGCTACTATTATTCTTAAATCAACAATTTTGTGAGCACTTCCTCTAATCTTTATTGTGACATACTCCAGAAAATAAGTTACTCTGATTTTCTTTTCTTGTAATGTTGTCCATAAATTTTGGTACAGGTCGGTACAAGTCTCTGAGAAAAGAAATGGATAGGTTGAAGATTTGTTTAGCCTATGCCCCAAGTAGCAAGGTCAGCACGAATTTCAGGTCAAGCCATGCTGCCGAAGCAGTTAGTTCAGTGGCTACATGGCAGATGCTAGAGTTTGGAAAACTTGATCTTAACTGAAGACTTTGATTCGGCATGAAAGATGAGAGTTTTTTCTCCGTATTGTAATTGCCATGTATACAGGAAAATCAAGATGAAGTTGCTTCAAGGTCAGTCATCATTGCTTCACTCAGCTGTTGTACCTGTAAACGTCTCGTATGTTTATGTTCTTCTACGAATTGCCATATGTTTTGACTATAAAGTGCATCAATCTTTGTACCCATAAACATAACATGGGATGATTTTGAGCATCCAATTGAAGTCTTGCAAACTACAAATTTTCACTCGGCAACTCTCAAAACTTGCAGTTCTGCTTTGAAAAGAGATTTTCGAAGTGATAGAATTAATGCAGCTCTTAGCTGCAGCTGCTAGGCCTGTGGGGATGAAACTCGTGTTCTAGTGTGCATTGTAGAAAATAGTTATGGAATAACTCCTAACGAGTGAAAGTGGCATTTACTATTGTGCATCCACATCAAGCTTTGACAATGACAGATTCTAGTTGAGTCGTTAAAGCATGGATGGAAAAGGTATCAGCAAACAAGCAATTAGCACTAGAACAATAATAACTTGGCATTCTCGTTCAGTTGATGAACAATAATGGAATGTTCTCAACATGGAAGTGGGAGTTGTATAACACACTCGAGGATTATCGTGAAATGGTCACACTTTAGACTACAATTTTACAATATGGTGGCATAACTTGTTTTGGGACTAAGATCCTCTCCTAAAAAAAAGTGTCGTGTCTCGACCGGTTATTAATGTACCTTACAAAAATATTGTGATGTTAAATCTCATATCACAACATTTTTGTAACATACATCACTGTTTTGCATGAGAGGATTTTTGATCCGTTGTTTTGTTACAAAAAAAAGTTATTGAGATGCAAAAACATGATCAAGAATAATATGCAGGCTATTGGATATCTGTACCAGAAAGATTCTTTATTAAGAGACGAAATTTTCAATGAAGCTCATATTATCTCTTTATTCAAGCAGTATCAAAAGCAATTGCAAAATAATAATAATAATAATAATAATAAAATAAATAATAGCAACCGTTACAACTCACATATGTCGCATGACCTGTTAACGAAGAGTCTTAAAATTTAAAATTTTCAGAAATCCTCAATTTCAAAATTTTACTAGTATTATCAAATTTACTTAATCAATTTGTCATTTAATTTATTCATATTTGATTACTCAATTAGATAATCATTTAACTCATTCAAAATTTATGCAATTGAGTTACAAAATTTTCTGACCTGATACTGCGCAACTTATGCAAAAATTCACACCAGCTCTGTACAGTTAACAGCAGAAGAAACACAACTTCATAAACTCTAATCACCAAAATAAATAAGAGTAAAACCCCATAATCCAAATGAAATTTTTGCCGTTTTCATTTCGTATCTTCGTATAGTAACGACTATTTTTTTTTCCCTGATGTTTTTACTCCCATTTTCGTAGGTCCATATCAAAGTTTCAAGTGTTGCCTATCATGAAATATCTCCAAATTATTTGAAGTATTAGCGATCGCTATAGAAAGCAAAGTTATATGATGCACATATGTTTACAATAGCTAGCTCCGGCATAATCCCTCTGAGAGAATGAATAGATCCCCAAGAGATGGCAAACGAACCCTTCAACCTAGCCAACTCCCTCTCTAACCACGAATTGATGAACGAGGGACAGCAGGTAAACCCAGTTCATCCTCAGCCTGTCAAACATCAGAATTGGCAGATGTAAAATGGGTAAGGACACAACAAATGCCTGACTGCACAATACATATGTAAAAATACATGTCTGTCAATCTGTCCCATTTTTCATAAGATTATATTATGAAACCACCTCTTTTTTTTCTTTTTCTTTTTTCTTTTTGTAAGTATATTATGAAACAACCTCTTAACCCCCAAAAAAGAAACATGGAACACAAATAAAAGGGAGTGTACCAAGAAGAAGCGTTTCTTTCAGGCAAACCAGGTTAACTCGTGTAACAACAAATTTGTCGAAAAAGTACCTGAGCATTGGATCTGCCTGCTGGAACTGCTGCATGCCCAGATGGTGCTGAAGGCAAGTTGAGTTCTGAATCCAGATCAGGTTCCTTATCAGGTTGAAGATATGCAGGCACCCCTTCACCTTCAGTCTCCATCCCCATGTCTGCTTCCAAAGCATCAAGCTCTGCATCACAGAATCACAAAAAGTATAAAGGAAACAAAATAAACAATCTGGATACCAAGTTTTGCCATGGATCCAATTTTGTTGGATATCTTTTTGCAAAATCAGCCAGCTGTGATATTGAGGAGAACTCGCATGACAATATACCTCTTCTTAAGAATATTACTCGTTTATAATGGGATTTCAGAAGTTACTCACCCAATTATTTCTGTTTTCAAATTTTGGTCCAAAGAAAAGTACATATAAATTAACTAAGAAAAAGAAAAGAAAATATATATATATAAATTTCCAAGGAAACCTTTTGCTAGAACTATTACTTTCACTTTTGGTAACAATCCCCATGGCACATTTCCCCTTTAACATCTAATAAGTTTATATATGAGATTGAGCTTACCACCCATGAGATCTTCCTCATCAATGTCATCAGGTACACTGTAGCTTCTACCAAGAGACTCTTGAATTTCATTACTCACATCCATCAGGTCAATCATTTCATCTTGCAAGTTCTACAGATTAAAATCAACAATCCAGGATTAGAAATTCCCAATGACAACCACAATGGAAGACAAAGAAAATAGAAAAACTATACAAACATCTATATCTTGAATCTTCACAGTCTTCATCATTCCTTTCAACTCTTTGTTTGCTGATTTCAGTGCTGACATCTGGAAAGAATGCAACAAAATTAGTTCGTGCAAAGTCACTCCATAAATAATTATTATAATAGCCTAAAAGTGCCTCCAGGACACCCATCACTTCATAAACCAAAATGAGTACTGATACAGAATATGAGAGTATCTAAAATGTGGATCAACCACATATTTTTGAAAGAAATCCCTCCCTAGTGACAAATGGGTTGTTCCCTACCTCTCATGAGGTAGGCAGCAGGTTTGAACCAGGGTACAGAATATGCTCCGTCTGACATGCCTCGAACGGTGACCCGTGGGGCGCTACCAATAAAAACACATAGTTCAAGGTAAATATAGCGTAGCCCCAATAAACCATATTCAATCTAGAGTAATGTAAATCTAACATAAATGGTGCTGATTATAATTTATAAGTAGAGCTTGCAGAAAGACCCAGTAAGAATTTATGGCTGGAAAGTCTTGATTGTGACCACTCCAGAAAATGATAATAATGATAATAGCTGATTGAGATCATTTAATCAAATATTATCTGTGGCTTCGCTGATTATCAACAGGGCCCACAAATGTTCCACCAGCAGGCCTGAGTTTCAATTGTATTAATCAAACTATCATTTGTGGCTTTGCTGATTATCAACAGGGCCCACAAATTTCCCACCTGCAGGCCTGAGTTTCAGTTGTATTAAATCAAGCTACATATAAACATACTTTAGCATGTCTAAAGCCCAAGCCTGCTAGTGGGACACCCCAAGTTCCAATTAATTACATTGTGAGCTCAAAACTAATAAGGCAACCGTACTGCAGAATTTTCCAATTAATTACTTTGTCCTCTTCACAATCTAAAATTGTGTTGAAGCAGCTCAAAACATGGATGAACCAACCAAGACACTTAAAATATTAAAAAAGTAAAAATTTAACAGGAAAAAACAGTTATAAGCTCCAAAATATTAAAAAAGTAAAAATTTAACAGGAAAAAACAGTTATAAGCTCCCTCGAACATACTGTTTGTTGAGCATCCTTAATTCCCTCGGCAGCAAATGAAACTTGGTCTAAGTTGAATGTTTGAGTGTAGAGCATGTCACGTTGTCCTTCATATCTGTTCAGAAACTTAATGGTTGGATATGTATCACGGCAATAAACACACACAACACAAATCAAGCAGAATGGTAAGTGTAAAATTGAAGAAATGCAAAAAATCATTTCAGCCCAACAGCTGCACAGCATAGCATCAACCATATAATAAGCATACAGGTCAATGATTAACATGCCACCCATATACACTTGGTCTGAGAGCTAATTAAAATTGGTTTCGCATAGTCATATTCTACAAGTTCATAAAACATGAAGATAGAAGTACTAAAGATAAAGATCACTAAGGTAACTAAGGTTTAGATCATTATTGTAAAGAAATGCAATCGATAGATTGACTAAAATACTTCCCAAGTTTAAGTCTAATGAAATATACTTCAGATGTTTACATTTTTTTTTATCCTAAGCACTTCAGATGTTTACATTACAGTCATTGCTTATGGCAAATACAATACAAAACTCTGTATGATACAATAGGCACATGAGGTAAACTTAGGCACATAAGGTAAGTAATCTTCAACATCTTCTAAATTTTGAAGATTACTTCTGATTTAAAATCATATTCCAATCAAAATATAAAAATATCTGATAAATTTAAAGATACTTTCACTTTTATTTATACACTCAACAAAAAAAATTTCTCTCCCCTATAATATCCATTGCCTATTATTACGCGCCTAATGCAGTCTATAAAAGCCTCAAAGAGCATATTTGAAGAAAAGAAACAATCTACATTCTCGTTTGCACTAATGTTTCTACTATTAGTATAAGAGCTTTTGTAAGATCTTCTTCACGCTACATGAATCTGTTAGAAGAGCCGCATAAAGAAGAAACAACATAGAAAAAACCTACATTCTCTTTTGCTTGAGGACCCTCATGGCTCTAGCTTTGACAGCTTCTTGAGCAGGACCAGGTCGGGTTTTCTTGATCTGTTCTCTAAATCTAGCAAGTTCAGCATCAAGCTTTTTTATCTTCTCATCTACTGTTTCACCTCTTTTATTGATCTGGAACAAATTTATAGAAACATAATTTAAGCATCTCTTAAGAGAAATAACATCTAGGATTAAAGAGACAGTGAAATGATGAAATCTCAAAAGGTGCACAGGAATCACAGTTGAATGTCGTCCATGATATCTTATGCAACCATAAACATCATTACGGAGAAGCTCAAAGATATGCAGTTTATGATGATAACACCAACACCATAAATGAAGTTGCAAACAGTAAAACAACACTAAAAGCAAGTATAATAGTATTACTGAACTCATTTCTCTACAGAAGAGTAAAAAAAAAAAAAGAAAAAAAGAAAAAAAAAAAAAAAGGCTTTTCAACTTGTTTCCAAAAAAAAAAAAAAAAAAAATCCCTTTCAATACGCAAAACTACAGATTCCAATCAGAGACCAATTATTTAGTACAGTTGTCAACCTTCAGTTGTTGTCAATAAGGAATATCAATAGAGAACATTGGCCCATAATACATAGGAAACACAAGGTAGAAAATTATTCTGAGTATATTCAGAAAAAATTAGGGCAGCTTCATTTTCGCCCTGTCCAGAACGATCAAGTGGGGTCAAGAGTGACGAAGATAATAGCAAAATCAGAGGTTCAAGAATATTTTAAGCAGGGAAAATTAAATTGAAGTAATCAACAAACAAACTATTTTAAAAAGGTGCTTTCCCGAAAGCGTGTAAGTTGTAACCAATGGCCGGCTATCCTTTCCGCTCATATACTAACCGAATCACAGCTCTAAATAAGGGGCTCTAATTTATAGTGCATTAAGCTTCACCGGAAGCAGGCAAGGAGAATTGAATGAAATTATTGAAGCAAAGTGACTATAGCAATACTAACTTATCAAAAAAAAAAAAGTGACTATAGCAACACTATCGAATTGGAAGCATATAAAATTTCTTGCCCATTGTGCTTTCATAATTTATTAAGAGCGGTGGCGGACCTTTCATCTCACTGCTGATTTCTTTTTAGCCAAGAGAGAGCCTTGGGAACTCCAGACCTTATTTTCATGTTGCCTGCGGTGCTTGCCAGTTGGTCTTTCTCTTGCTTCCATAAGTCTCTTATCTGTTAGAGACTTTGACAGGTTTAATACTTCCATTTCGTTTTAAAGAATAAAAATATAAGTCCTGTTGCACTTTTTAGCAAATTCTCGGTGCAATTTGATAATTTTTTTTTGGTCTTGTCATCACATTATTTAGTGATAGATCAAACCACATGAATTTCCAGGATCATGCCTAGCATGGAAATCCTTTCAAAGACTTATTTCAATTCAAGAATCAACTTACTATAAATTATACCACATTTTGGTGCACATATTAAGTTCAAAACACGCCAGCTCGCTAAAACGAAGACATGAAGACACCAGCACTTCACATAAGTGTGAATGCATTTACTATTCTGAAAATATGTTTTCATATAGCACAAGTGTGTATGCATTAAGATGAATTATAGAAGAAAGGGACAAAAAAAAAAAAAAAAAAACTAAAAAAGTAAGTTCTTTAATAAGAAGGCATGACAAAGTGTTGCATTTCCACATATCTTTTCAGGTAAATGCGCTTAACTAAGTGTTACAATGGAAGTTTAGATACACAGAAAGAGTGTCATGTTGCCACAGCTCACGACTGACACACCTTAATCCATTTACCATTATTTGATTGTTCTATCTTTAGTCAAAGTGGTGTTGTGGCCCTTATTGCGAGGGGAAGGGGAAGAAGATAACTAATGTGGGTTGAGATAGTTAGAAAAGATAGGATAGCCTTACATAGAATTAACACTGAACAGGATTTATATTGCTGAACCCTATGTGATATGGACTTAGGGTACATGTATTGGGTACGGGTATATATCCACGTATCAAATGTGTCAAAAATTCCAAATATATTTATATTTTATTTTTTGGAGTAAAATAATGTCTTTATGTAATCATAGTGTTCAACATAGACATTTCATCCCCTTTTTTTTTGGATAAGTATAGACATTTCATCCGTTTTGAAGCTATAATATAATAAAATTGAATTATTGGATATGTTTTTAAAGTGCCTGTCCAACCAAGAGTGTCGGACACGTATACTGTATCCACGCCCGAGTGTTGTGTGTACGACTTGGGTACTTCAACTACTTTGAAGAGTTGGTCAATGTAACATATGCTGACCCCAAATAGTTGAGGAAAAGGTCACCTACGGGGTTCTTCGCACCCGGATAGTACCAAGACCCTTTTATTGAGTTGATTTGATTGAAGTTGGGCAAAATCAACATAGTTTTTTTATCTTTACTTATTGGCTGGCCAAATTCTCTCCCATTAATCAAAATGGTTAGCTCTATACATTCAGGATTAGTCAGCCATTTTGATCTTTCAAACATTTAGCACCAGGTAACCAACCCTAACAACAATTTGTCAATATTAACATACGCCAAACACTAACAATATGCATTGCCACTAGAAATCAATACATTGGAATTGGACTTATCAATCGATTCATAACCTTTCGCACACAACCAATATCTATTTGAACTCCCTTCACTTGTAGAAGTACATCTTGGATCTGTCGATTATGTTATGTCCAGAGTACTACTCACAGATACCTGGTCGAATTGGAGGAGGCTGTAGGTATTATTGCAGGTCAATATATTGGAGAACCAGACATTCAATTAACATGAAGAACTTCTCATACTGGCGGAGTATTCACAGGTGGTACTGTAGTCAACTTGGGAAATCGAGTTAGCTGGGCTGGTTCCCTGTCCCCGACATGTAACGAAAAGATTGATTGGTTTACCGCATTCATTCATGAAAGCACCTGCCTCTCTCTGGTGGGCCTTGACTTATATTGAAAAGGTAAAGGAGAGGCAGTCGAAGTCATTACTTTCTTTGGTCTTAAGGATTCTCATGGCATAGCCAGGAGATAGCTGCCCACTAACTACTGGGGTAGCACTACTAGCTAGTAGCTACTATTAGGACTGTTATTAAAGACCTTGTTTAATTAAAAAACGTGCATTAAGATACAAAGGCTTCTTATTCCACAACAACAAAAGCACTTTTTCACTCTTTCATATAGTAGGGGATTCCACTTGGAAAAGAAAATGTTTCATACAAACGAATTTGGGTCCATAACCACGGATTCCAACACACTAGATCTTGTAGTACTCTACTTCAATTTTTAGGTATGGGGATCCTTCACAAATATGTTGATACCAATATGTAACTTAACAAAAGACATAACACTCTGATATTCCAGACATTTAACTTATAAAAAAACATGAGCATGATTGGAAGTCTCCATTTTGGTCTCAAACAATAATAACTATACATGCCATGTACACACAAATTGCGAGTACACATTAATCACTGTAGATCACACAGAATCAAAGACATTCCCAGGAAAAAGACACACAATTCATGTTGTAACAACATTAAAAACAAGAAGTGCAATTGAAACATTAGTAAATTATCATCATAAACAAGCAAATATAATCAAATCATATAAAGCAAAATTCAAAAGATTTAATGCGTGTAAATATAGAGAGAGGGAGAACCCGATCAGAGGTGTCTTGAACGGAAGGAGGGGGTTGCTTTTCTTTCTTAACGCCGAACACTCTCTTCATTGTTCTTCTTCTTCTTCCTCCTCCTCCTTGTTTAGATTAGGGTTTCAGTAGAAAAAGAAGTTTCGAAGTAATTACCAGATTTTTACAGGCGTGAATGTATATATCGAGTCCATCGACATTAAAACCATACGTGCTGTGATACGCGTGTTACGAACGCGACACGAGCCATTTAAATTAAATGGCAACTCACTAATTTTTGGGTAATAAATTTGATTTTAATTTCTCCACTCTAATACCTATTTCTATATTTTAATTGTGTATATTATATTTTTGCCTTAAATATTTTGTAGACATAAATTTATTGTAAAAGATATTATATTAAAATATAAACATATACTTATATAAAATAATGAATTTCACTAAAAAAAATATATCAATTTAATAATGAATATTTATGTCAAAACGTATTATAAAAATTTCAAAATCAACATATAAAATGAATAACTTATGAAAATAAAATATTTATTAGAAGGAGATTAGAATGCACAATATCTTTCCACATATAATATTATTATACTATATTAAAACATAAACATATATATAAAATAATGAATTTCACCAAAAAAATATATCAATTTAACAATGAATATTAATGTCATAATTTATCATAAATATTTCAAAATCAATATATATAATGAATTGTAATGGTTGTAATTTATTTATATATGTATAATTGTGTGGCGAAAATAAAAGGAAAAGAAAGAAACAAAAAGAAAATGTTTTTGATGGTGGGACCCACCACATCTTTTAAAGGCTGAGAGGCCTCTCTTTCTTTCCCGTAACTCTCTCTCTCTCTCATTCTCTTTCTAGATTTTTTTTTCTTTTCCTTTTGCTTCCAAAATTCAAACCTTGATTTCTCCCTCACCATTCGGGGTTTTTAAATGCCGTTTGTGGCAAACTAAAGAGCACGTCGAGATCTTCGATTTGATCAGAGCAAAGGTTGTTTTGGTGCACCCTAAGAATTTTGAATTCTAGGGTTTGGATTCGACAAATTTGAGGGTTTTCTATAAAATTGAGGTAGGGATGTTCTAATCCATGACTTCTTGAATTTTTTGTGAATTTTTCTCTTTAATTTGACATTAAGCATGCTTAATTTTAATTATCTTGTCCATTACTATTGTGGTTGTATGTGCTCAAAATGACGAATGTGTTTTACATGCTAACTGGGTTATACACATGGCTATTTACATTATTGTGAAGAAGCATGTCTAATTTTGGTATATTATGTGACTTGTGAATTCCCAATTGCTATGGAAATTGATGTTGTGGTTGTAAAATAATTGTTTTGGAATTTGCTATCAAATATATATATAAAATAATAATAATAAAATGGTGATGGTGTAGAAGAGCATGTAAAATTTTATTGTTGAATTTGGCATTCGGAAGCATGAAGCATTCATGCATTCATTGGGAAAAGTAAAAGGGAAATGTTTGTTTTAAAAACAAATGAAATTGTTTTTGAGAAAAAAGTTTTTGAAATAGTGTTTGTGAAAACTCGGACGCCTGGGAGGCGCCTAGTGGTCCGTGGTGTTAGTATAGTCTAAAGAGGATTAGGGATTGGGCTAACTAGGCCGGATACGATGCCTTGGAGGTGCCTTGTGGTCGTGGATAGTTAGTCAATCCCCTTTTCGTGACGCCTTGGAGGTGCCTTGGGTCGGATTACACTAACGGTTTGGAAGTTGAAACGGAATTGTTTCAGAAATGGTGAACGACATGGGCATGGCATTACACTTCATTGGCATATATGGTGTATTTGTGACTTGGATGACATTGTGTTTATATTTGACGTTGTGGATATGGATTGCATTCCCGGTATAGTATGATCCTGTTCTTTTGATTTTTATTCTATACGTGGATTCACAGGGTCATAAGAGGTGTGTCTTAAACACCTGCTACTGAGCTTAAGCTCACCCCATTATTTTAACATTTTTTAGGTTTGGGAAAGGAAGTGATAGACGACATTCCTCCACAGGTTTTGATGGGTTAGTGGACTGTTTGACCTATTTTGTAGCTATGATCCATATTATTATTATTTATAAACCCTGAGATGACACGTATATTATGTATTGCCATAAGAATGAATGGTAACGTCTTTTGTTGATTTCGGATTCGGGTAAGGATCCGGTTAGCGATTCGAACTCTCGAATTCGGGTCGTTATATGAATAACTTATGAGAATGAAATATTTATGAGAAGGAGATTAGAATTCACTCACAAATCATTGAATTTTTATTTATATAATAGATTTGCATCATAACAGTGCGAGGGTTTCATGATTGTTGATTATAAACTTGAGTGAACTATGTATATATAGTATATTGATGGATTTTCTATTTCCACTTTGCAATTTTATTCCCTTCAATAGATTTTTACGTTTAGTTTACTCTAATTTTTCATATGTTTATATTTCTCAATAGATTTTTACGTTTAGTTTACTCTAATACATATGAAAAATTAGAGTAAACTAAACGTAAAAATCTATTGAAGGGAATAAAATTGCAAAGTGAAAATAGAAAATCCATCAATACTTTTAATTTGGAGTGTAGCATCAAGTCCATCAATATGTTTAATTTGAAGCGTAGAATTAATACGTTTAATTTCAAGAGTAAAACAAGTGATGGAAAACCTAAAAATATAATATTTGAGGGTAACATTGTCATTTAAAAAAAATTTTAAAACCTAAAATCACCTAATAGCGGTGATACCAAGATCAGCACGTTTAACAAAATATGCAAATTAATCAATTAAATTCAAACTTAAAATGATATGTATTAAATTGAATTCATAAATCTAGAATCAAATGAATAATTACTTACCATTTGAAAAATGTATATATGTATATGTATTACAACTAAACCTAAAATCGACCGATAGGCTTCTTATCTCTTCATCTAAGAAATATGGGATAATGTTGTCTTTGAACATGGAAATAGTTGAAGGTGGTGTTAAATCTTGAGATGGACCCTTGTGGGAAAATTGAATACAATTCGGTTTTGGGGCTAATTTTTTTTTCTATTTTGACTTGCCAATGAGATTTTGGTATAATAAACTACATTGTTAAGGAGTTTATAAGTTTTATTTGGCCCAAAAGTGTTGAGTTTTGATTTTATTATGGATTTTTGAAATTGAAGATAGTTTGCTATCAGAAATGTTGAAGAGTAGAAATTCTTTTACGGTTTTCTTTAAAAACTGACACAATTGACAAAGGCACTCATTCAAGTAATTTTAAGCTTTCAAATGATTCTTGTTTCATGCAAATTAAGTTAGAATTATATTTTTGATGATTTTTTAAAGAAAGTAGGTTTTTTGCTGAAAATATGAGTAAGCTTCGTACGGTAGTACCTTTAACTGAGATTTTGGATAAAGAAAATAGACTAAATGAGGTTTATCAAAAAATTTGTTATACCAAGAAACATGGAATATTTAAAATTTAATTTTGGGTACAATGATAGTAAGTGCATTCATCCCGAAAATGAAAGATGGAAATTATGGGCTGATTTTATGAACTATTGCAATTTTAAGAAAATGAATTTTATTTGTGAGAGACTGAACTCGAAAATGGAATTTGGAAATTATGCTAATTGAAGTACTATTATTTATTTAAATATATTCTGTCGTCTAATTCCAATTATTCACATTTCCTGAATTATTATGCAATTGTTAAAGGAAGCTATTCTTCTATATTTTAAAGTAGCTCACCATTTTCTTCTTAAAAAACATTTTCAGATCCAAACCTTGCTCAGAAGTCAGAAAGAAATGTAAGTTGTCATGCAGTAATGTATTCTTGAGACTTGGTGTTACAAGTGAGATTTGTGCCGATGAAAAATTTAATGAGTATATATAAACTGAGTATTAATTCCACATAATAGTTTAAACTTTTGAATCGGATTGCGAAACACCCATCCATTACCATTTTTATTAAAATCAGAGAAATACCACGCCAAACCCCATCAAATATTTGATGTTTAGCGGGACTCATGCATGACTATTGACTAAATGACCCAGGTGATACTAATATCTGTTGGGAATTACGATTAGAAAATGAATAGTATTTAAATCACACAAGAAGTAGGGGTGCAACTTGGACGGGTTAGCTCAGCTCAACCCGAGTCCAGCCCATGAATTTTAAAATCTGGACACATAAATTCATAATTCGGGTTTCAGTTAGGTTGGGTTTCTAAACCCAACCTTATTCGGTTTGGGCTGGGTTCAACCCGAACCCAACCCGAAAGCCCAAATTAAACATTTCATAAAAAAAATAAATTCAAAGAACCCTAACTTTCTCTCTCCTCATCCTTCTCTTCTCTCTCTATATCTAAGCAGCATCGCCGCAGACAACGACGCTCCAATCATCATTAAGAACCAGTGGATTTTTATCAAACTGGTTGTTGAATTGGGAATTGATTAGTTGTACTGTTTCATCATCAAACTATAGAAGTGAACATATGCTTGTAATTGTTTTTCCTTTTTTCCTTTTTTTTTTTGTTTGCTAATTATCCTCTCTGATTTATTTTTTGTTTTTCTAATTTTGTTGTCAGATTCATGGAATATTGAATGCTGTGAGTTGGGGGATTATGTTTCCGGTAGGAATAATAATCGCAAGGTATTTGAGAACTTTCCAGTCTGCAGATCCACTCTTCTTTTTCTTTCTCTTTCTCCCTCTTCTTTTTCTCTCTCTCTCTCTGCCGCAGTCCATGGGCGAAGCTTGAGAGTTGAGAGGGGGGCAAGCTTGAGAGTTGACAGACAGCGGCTGAAGCTTGCGAACGGTGAACCCGAACTAGAACAGCGGGCCGGCGATGGACACTGAAAGATCTGGATTTTGATTTTTTGAACAATCTGAAAGATAAGCCGATCTGATTTTTGATTTTTTGAACAATCTGAAATGATATGCCGATATGGGTTTTGAATCTGATTCTTGTAGATTTTGTAATTTGCAGTTGGAGAGAGAGAGAGAGAGAATGTGGATGGGGCGACAGGCAGGCTGAAATGATTTGGTTTTTTTTTTTTATAATAATATAGTCAAATATATATAAAATAATATATTATATATATATATATAATTTTTTTTAAAAAAACATAAAATTAAGAACTCAACCTGTCCAAAAATATTCTATTCGAATTATAATAATAACCCATGTTAAGTACAATTCGGGTTGGTCCAACCCAACCCGTTTCAAATTGAGATTGGGTTGGGACTGGATTAGGCCAACCCAAATTGCAGCCTAACAAGAAGTATGAAAATGTTTACTTTATCAGTACTTAAAAGGGCAAACAAAAACATGAATAAAGCTCACACAAAAGTACGACAGTTTTGTTTCGTGCCATGTGATTGACCTGGGACCATAAACATGAATAAAGCTCACAAAAGCTGACACTTTTTGATTTATTGTCATCTAATGATTGACCTGGGACCATTCCAATGGTTCTGAACCCATGTAACAATTTTTCACCTGTATGAGGAGCCTGATGCATTTGTTTTGCCGTCAAGAGGGGAAGGACCAGGCCAGACAACTTGTGGAGGCCATGACAATGGCTTACCATTGATTCAGACTTGGTCGGAGTTGCCAGAGTAAAATACACTGATATCCATAATAGATATATACAACTGTATTGACTTCGTATGCAAAGCAATTGCCAAAGAGAACAACCCATGTTGCAATGACTTTTCAGTTGACAAAATTGAGTTCGGTAACATTGCATGTCTGAACCAAAGGCCATGGTATCACCTCCCCATCCTCAAAGAGGGGGGGTGGGGTTTGAGCCGGGTGCAGGCAAAAAGTGTGTGAGAGTGGTGTGAGTGCATTTCTTACCGATGTTACCATTAAAAAAAAAAAAAAAGTTGTTCATTGCATGTCTGACTGCAATGGAACTGACTTCATACTTAAACACATTCTATTGAAGATAGGGAGAGAACACTGTCAAAACTTCCTTGTAAACGGGCTTCTTGAAATCCACTGCCTGCATAGAAAATGTAGAAAAAGAAGTGAAGTTAAATCACAAAACCAGATCACTGGTTTTAGGCCAGCACAACAATACGAGGGAAAAAAGTTCACCCACAAGATCAACTACTTGTTCTGGTGACATCCAAGACCACTCTCCAAACTCGGCCTTCTCGGTCCCATCACCTAAAAGATTGATTTCGTCCTCCTTTCCAGTGAACTTAAGAAGAAACCTGTGTTTTTTTGCATGTTGAAATTTAATGAAGTAACTGATTACAGACAGTTCAGTGCAATAGAAAACCCAAAAGGTGATATTCATATCAAATCTACACACACCACACAGTACTTTTTTGGGAGCTGTTACATGGACTGTTCAAAAGTAGTGAAGTACCCGTGTCGGACACATATCCCTCAGACATGGGTATGGGATATGTGTCCGACACTTTTGGTTGGACATGTACTTAAAAAACATACCCAATCATTTAATTACATTATATTATTACTTTAAATGAGTTAAATACCTATATTGAACATTATATTAGATAAAAATATTACTTTACTCTAGAAAATAATTTCAAATAATTAATAAAATGAATATTTAGCCGTGTCCGTGTGTCCTTCTATTTGGAGATTTGACACGTCCGACGCATGGATACATACCCGAGTTCGACACTCGTACCCGAGTCCATGTAACATACTTGGGATAAACTCTAGCTGATTAAAAACGCAAGAGATTGAATCACGAACCATTTTCCGAGACTATCTACTTTACCGGAGATCAAGAGCTGTCCCACCAATATTACATACCCAGCATGCCATTTTTCAAGTTTCTCATGTTAAGTTTAGAATTCAAGGATGGGATTACTACTAAAGCCCATCAACTTGATTGCTGGATTTAGCAGAGATGACAAAACATGCATTAGTACCTAGTCAAATGACAGGTTTGAAAAACAGAGTGTATCACCATGTGGTCCTGCTTACGCAAGGCGATAGGAAGGAAAATTAGAGATAGTCACCTTTGGTATTATTTTGCATACAGTGGATGCTTTGAAACTTGAACATGCCTCCTCATGTATGGTAGCCAGAGTTTTTACTATTGTACGGGCTTGAAAAAACATAAGTTGTACAAAGTTATTCAGCGATGTAATGGCAATTCTTACATCAGCTCTTTCCAAAAATGATATTAACAAAGTCGTTTCTGTTGTAGCCAAACACAACTTGAGCATATATTAGAGCTATGGGTTGTGCTCCCATAGTTTTAGTAATTTGGCTCTAGAATGACAATGTAAGAGCAACTATGAGATAGGTCGGATGAGGTTAACAATTTATGTAATAACTCAACTAGGGAAATGAAATTCAATAATTTTTTCGGTAAATTTGGACTTGTTTCAACTCTAGCCTAAACTTGAAGCAAACAAAAACATAGGGCCTTGGGGTTGTATTCCACCAAGTGTCAAGCAGGTGTGTACTTCAATGTGTTGCTCAATAATAATAATTAAGTTTTAATGTTGTCTGGGCTTCATAATCCTCAATTGTGTTTAATTTTCAATGCCAACCCAAACCCAAGTTGCTGCCACCTAATTTCAACATATGCGTCTGTGTGTGTGTAACCAAGTGTAAATGCATAAATTGATGCACTGACCACTTCTGTGCTTGACCTTTCCAGTCTGATCCCCATTGATGCTTAAGTTTTTCCCTGACCGCGGGTGGGAAATCATACGTTAACCAATATGGGACCTGCATGAGGAAAATATTGTCAAAAACTGGCTTGGTAAATCCATGCACTAGGAAAAAGAGAAGGGAAAAAAAAAAAAAAATTCCCGCATGAGCTCTTTGCTTTAACTTTAGTACAACCATGAATAGAAACCAAGAGTAAGATCCAAAGAAAAAATCACTGAAAGCTAACCTTAACAAGTCAAAAATATTAACATAAGACGCGGATATTTTGACAGGGATGAAACTTAGCAAGCCCAAATGGCATGTCTAATTTTTATTTAATAGAACAAGCACCCAGAAATACACAAACTTGTACATTACTAAAAATAATTATAATGCACAAAATTAAAATGGTGTTGACCAAGTATGTTTTAGTGCGTAAAACATGAGATAATAAATAACAAGTTCATAAGATAAGCATTGTGGAATTGCAAATATTTGAACAGAGGAGAGGTAGAACGAGAAAGAAAAAAAATTAAAAATTGTTATATTCGTGGATGTATTAAAGTGATACCAATTCACCTATTGAAGAAAGAACGGATTTTTTTTATCTAATATGGTTTGACATGCACAACAGACCAATAATTTACATTTTGACTTGAGTATGAGCATGTCCTATTGTGGTAGGGATCTGGAGCCACACGGATCTTCAACGGGTTCGAAACTGATTCCAGGCGGCCGGCCCCTTAAGACAGAACTCTAATGGTGTGAAATACTTTCTAAGGGTTTTAATCGAAACAAAAAAATGGGTTATCAAAAGCATTCTCGCAAAAGACCAATAACTATACCAATGAGGACCACAGTTCACACAGAGGATAATGCTAGAAGCAAGGAAAGATCCAAATTAACATAGGTTGAGATAGTAAAGAAAGATACGATTGAATACAATTTCATTAAAGTTATGACCCTACAATGAAAAGGCAAAACATGTTTTATATAATCAACCCCAAATAGTAGGGACAATATTTTAATTTGCTGAGATTAGTCAAGTTGAGACTTCAACTACTTATGATATAAAAATATAGGCAATTCTGAAAAACTATAATATACAAAGTTAAAATGGCTCAGAAGAAAGATTGCAAATAAGACAATTTGACCTGAAGGTATTTGAAGTATAGGCTTGAAAATGCATGGTCATGATGGCGTAACCTAGTGTTTCATGGAATTAAGAGTGCATTTTCATCATAGATTTGTGTCAAGATTTAATTTGGTGAAAAATATGAACACCTTGAGACACAAGTAAAAGAGACTAGTTGAATTGTTTATTTATCTATGTATTTTGGGTGGATTAAAGTTATTAAACCAACTTCTCCTAAGATTACGCATTATTAATTTAGAGACCTTAATGTTGGTTAGGAAGCTTAGACTTTTGAGTTTGAAGTTGTCAAAACTGACCTATCTGTCTTCAAGAAATCATTAAAAATAAAATACTTGGAATCTTGGGATGAGTTTTATGTATCAGGAAGCTAGATTAGACAAGGTTTCCAACTATATATTATATGAATAATTTTGAATCTATTTGACTCCTCAATGAAGCATAAACACCCATACAATGTGCAGACAGGTCTGGCAGAAAGCTTAGATCGCTTTCACTTGAACAAACTCCCAAGAGCTTCAAGTGATAGGCTGATCGCTCCAACTCGCTGGGCACATCACTGGAGGGAATTCAATTGCACGGACTTGCCTTGGATTGCCAGTCGGATGTCTAGAGTTGGTAAAACATGCGTTTCCAAGTTTAAATTGATTTCTAAATCTTCTAAAACTTACCCAAAACATTCCCAATCAATCTTTAGTCACTCCAACAATATAAAAATGTGTTCTAAGATTCTCTAAACATAAGAAAACATAAGAGACAAAACTGCACATACGTAACAGAGATTGAAAGCTTTATTTATTTAATCACAAATTAGGTTTTTCACTAGAATATCCTACTATGTGATTGAGATCTAAATCATGGAGCTTCATCGAATTCTTGAAGATCTTCAACCACAACATACATCAACCAAAGAATAGAGAGTTGATACACGAGACGACAGACAATCATTATAAGAAGGTGTGAGGAGTGATTTCGTTGATTTACAGCAGCAGAGCCAGGTAGAATGTATGGCATGAGTTTGGATCAAAGGTAAACCAACATTGGTGATTCTTAAGGGCTTTATTTTTAATCATAAATTAGGTTTTTCACTAGAATATCCTACCATGTGATTGAGATCTAAATCATGGAGCTTCATCGAATACTTGAAGATCGTCAACCACAACATACATCAACCAAAGAATAGAGAGTTGATACACGAGACGACAAGCAATCATTATAAGAAGGCGTGAGAAGCGATTTCGTTGATTTACAGCAGCAGAGCTAGGTAGAATGTTTGGCATGAGTTTGGATCAAAGGCAAACCAACATAGGCGATTCTTAAGGGGCAAGAGTAATAACTAAATATATGGGTAACACTCTCTTTGATTACAGTGGATTATTTGTATTTGGATATGGCCTTGAGGTCTTTCCCCTCTGGGGTTTTCCATGTAAAAAAAAAAAAAAAAAAAAAAAAAATGTCTTTGTTTCTCCAATTTACTTTATTACTTTGAGATCTGAATTGATTAATTGGATGATGGTCACGATCAATTAATTAATTAAAATTTGAAATAAATTAAAAATTATCGAAGTATGCATTAGATCTATTCACCCTCTCTCTAGGTCTAATCGGGACATAGTGTACTCTAACGTATTAGAACCTTGGGCAACAGTCATTTCCCTCAATATGAAAAATTATAAAGACCAAGTACAAGATGCCAAAGAGAAGTAACAAATAACAGCTCATCTGAGAGAGGAAAAAATTTCCTATTTCATGTATTGTTTTTTTTTTTTTTTTTTTTTTTGATAAGTCCTATTTCATGTATTGTTCAGTGGAGAAAAGGAGAGGAAAAACTAAGCTCTTTAAAATTTTGGACTTGAGAGTGTGCACCAATAAGAACTTTATCCCTCTTAACAGAACCAATATTATATAACTTTAGAGGTTGGTTGATATCTTAATCTTAATTCTCTAATTTGGCTTTTGATTTTGATTTTTGTTCCATAAAAACTTCAACAAAGGAACACGATAACAAATGCTTTTCAGTTGAGCATTTTCTTTTCTCTTTTGCCAATCTTTCTGGGAACCAAATGCATTGTGAAAAGAAAAGAATTTACCAGAAGACTAATAAATCAACCAAAAGTTTTAAAGCACAAATAGTCAAATCTACAATCCAAACCTCTGCAAGAACTTCTGCTGAAGTGACTCCTGTTTCTTCTCTTAATTCCCTCATGGCTGCATTTCTTGGATCTTCATTTTCATCAATACCACCCTGTTTAATACAGCCGTATCACATACCTCCTTTTCATTTATATATATGAAAACTAGATTTTCTAAAGAAAGAAAAATCACGTTGCACAAAATTTTATAAACATCAGAGAGAATTCCTGCAACATCTCAAATTTAACAATTATTACAAATTCTACGAAAATCTTACAGCTCTATGAAAATTCTTCTCTTACAAATTCTATGAAAATTCCATTAAAGATCACCAATTAATATACAGCAATGCTTGTTCACCTATTCATTTCACACATTCACACAAAATATATAGAATATCTGTATAAAATAAGAAATAAATATAAAGTTCACAAAAATATCTTCCTCCAAATTTCATAAGCAAATCTCCTAGGACCTCCCCAAAAATATCCCAAAAATATATATGTATTATAAATTTCAAAAATCAAGGCAATTCTCATACTTACCTGAGGCATCTGCCAGGCATCAGGTATATCGAGCCTTGAAGCAGCAAAAATCTGCATAATTCAAAAGCATAACAACTCATTATATATATGTGTGTGTGTGTGTCTATATATATATAAACACAGAGAGAGAATATGCCTGACCTTTTTAGATGGATTGATGAGACAAATGCCCACATTTGTTCTGTAACCTTCAGGAGGGGCTTCCATGGATGAGGACGCTGCAATACACGAACCACTTATCGAGATTATATTAAGAGGTCTTCGACGCAGAAGGGTCAAGTCTGCGAATTTATTCAATTTTAGAGGGTAATTTGGGGAAGATAGACTAGGGTTCGCGAGCAGTTGCACTGGCTGACGTGAAAATGGGGAATTACAGAGAATGAATCGGCATAAAGCCATAACACACCTACGATTCTCTCTCCTCTCCCTCTCTCTCTAGAAAAATCTTCATCTTCATGCGGTCCTCACACTCTGAATTTACGACAGTGACCCTATGTTTATGCTAAAACTACCAAAAGGGCAATCACACTCATATTTATAATTTTATTTCTTTTTCTTTCTTTTATAAAGGTGACAATTTCTTTTTCCTTTGCTTCTCTTCCCTCTTTAGTTTCTCTCTCATCTCATCTCTCTCTACCCTATGTACGGTGTGCTTACAGTTGAGATTTTGATTCAGTTCGCTCTTTGGTTTTGTGGGTCGTCCATTTTCAGGTTCTTCTCTCTCTCTCTCGCACAGAGAAACAAGTTCTTTCAATATTGCTGCTAATGACAAGGAGAGAATTTTACTTAAATTTATTTATTTATTTTGAATAAGCCTAATTTTAAGCAATTGCATAGACCAGGAATATTACAAGTAAAATGTTTTTATAGTCTTATCATAGTCTTATGATTGAACCACCTTTCAACTGGGTTGTAAAAATTATGGGTTGGGAAGGTTTATGCCCAGTTTTATAAACAAAATTTATTTTATTTTATTTGTGTTTTTGCATTTTCCAAATGACAATTGGCACAAATGAATGTCATGTGTCCTATTTACTTATTTGATTGAACATAATGAATGTTCATATAACAAAATAGCAATGCAGATCTCACAATTCTTTAGGCTGTGTTTTTGGCGTCTTACAGACCAGTGATTGTGTAGGTTGTCCTTTATGACAATTCTGCATGTTATATTGAACAATTATTCGTCAGTATGCACTCAAAATGACAAGATAGAGAAGAGCTGGAAAAAAAAGTAGCAACACAAAATAAGAGAGAAAACACCCTAGAAATCCTTTATAAATGGAAAATTTCCTCATTTAAATTTTGTAGATATTCGGCATTAAACATTCGGTATTAAAACTTATAAATATTACTTCTGTAGATGGGAAGTCAGCCTAGCATGTGTCTTTGGCGATGTAAAGGGGGTGATGCCTGTTGGAAGGCACGAATAGTTTGATATATATATATATTTATATGTATGTATGTATATATGTATTGATTATGACCAACAGGCCAAGGGGCCTAGCGGTACCAAGCCACTACTTCTTAAAGAGAGGTCAGAGATTCGAGCCTCAATGGAGAGGCATGTGTGTGTGAGTACCCAACTAGGAAAATATATATATATATATATATATATATATATGATTATGCAAACTAACATTCAATAGCATAATAGTGCTCGGAAATAAGGTTTTTATTTAAAGTTAGTTTATTACTCATAAAATTAGCAAAATATAGTTCTTTCTGGAAAAGTGGAAATAAAATGATATTATATATGCCGTTGGATCTGCTTGACAATGCATTTCAGTACATCAGCTCCCATTTTATAGTACTAGCATAGGTTCTTTGGTTGAAAAGAGTGGTGTGGGCCTGTAATGACTTTTAGTGGATTTTGATAAATATTAGAAGGCATTTTAATGAGTAACAACCTATAAATTGTATTTTAAGCCACTATCGGCAAAAAAAAACTTACTAATTTGTGGTTCACTTAATTTATGACTTGAATGCACTTAGTATGAAATAAGTAAAAACTACCAAATAAAACACATTAAACAACAATGGAACTTCCCGTCTGGATAGATTCTTGCTCTCTGGAGAGTGGGAGGAGAAGTTTCCGGATGCTGCTCAAGCCGCTCTGGCTAGAGTCACGTCGGATCATATTCCTTTGGTTTTGGACTGTGGAGGATTGAGTTCATGTCGTACCCCATTCAGATTTGAGAATATGTGGCTTAGAGTGGTGGATTTTCACGGTTGGTGCGGTCTTGGTGGGAGGAGGATATGGTTGTGGGAACTTCGAGTTTCATTTTTGCAGGGAAGCTTTGCCTTTTAAAAGATAAGCTCAAAACATGGAATAAGGAGGTCTTTGATAATTTGGAATGGAGGAAGAATAGAGCCCTCGCTGGCATTGCAGAGTTAGATAGATTGGAAGCAGTGAGTGGTCTTGTTGAGTCTCAATGTAACAGGAGAGCAGCTTGTTAGGCTTAATGTGGCGAAATTGCGATTTTGGAGGAAATCTCGTGGCGACAAAAATCTCTGGCCTTGTGGCTTAAGGAAGGTGACTGTAATACTAAGTTCTTTCATCGTACCGCTAATGCTCATAGGAGGGGTAATTATATTGGGCGAATGTGTGTGGACGGCTATGTTACCCGGACTTGGGTACGGGTATCGGATACGGGTATGTGTCTAGAAGTCAGATCCATCTATGTATCAAATTATAGGACATGGGGACACGAAATAAAGTGTCCAAAACTTGGACACGGGTACGGGCACTTTATTTATGTTGTAAAAGAGAGAGTACTCTTGTCAGTTGTATACCTTTTAGTTTGCACAAGTTGAATTTATATTTTTTGTCAAGTCTGTTTTTTTCTCTTTTAGCAACCACATTATCTTTTACTGTTTTATCTCAAACCAAAAAGAAAATAAGAAAATAACTTACAAGAGAAAGCCCAAATAATAGCCCAGTTCAATGTATTATATAATTGAAACACCTTTACAATTTAATGTCCAAATAATAACCCAGCCTAATGGATTATATTATTAAAACACTCTTACAATTTAATGTCTAAATAATAGCCCAGCCCAATAGATTATATTATTAAAACACTCTTACAATTTAATGTCCAAGTAATACCCCAACCCAAATAATAGCCCAAGCCCAATGTATTAATGTGTGAGAGCTATAACCCACCTATCCATTCTGCTCAAACGGTCAACATGACTGGTTAGTGGGTTACAGCTGGTAACCCATTAACCACAATATTTATGATTATATATATATATATCTATATATATATATATATATATATATATATATATATAGATATTTAGATACTAGAACCACACACATTTATATACTTCCATATATATACTCTATTACGTTTCTCAATAACAAGCTTGACAGCTGCCGAAATTTGTTTACGCATGAATGGAAAAGTAAGAGCGTGAACAAAACGCTCCAAACAGGGTGGGTTTCTATGCAAAAAACGCGTGAATAACCCTCGTCTTCTCCAAAACCTCCTTTCTAAAATCGTTGTGAAACCAGAATGTATCCCTAATTTACGACCACTGAAGCAAGAGTTTTCTTCAGCGGCCGTGTCCGTACAAGGTCGGACGCATATCTCGAGTCCGTGTCCGTGTCCGTGTCGTGTCGTGTCGACACGGATACCCTCACCGGAAACGACGAGTCCAGGTAACACAGGTAGACGGAACAACGTTGAGCTCTGAGGAGGAAGTGCGTACGGGGATTGTTTCTTTTTATTAGAGGTTGTACACTGAGCCTCTTCGTTGGAGGCCACGTCTTGATGGTCTTCATTTTGACTCTATTTCAGTGGAGGATAAAGAAGGGCTGGAGAGACCTTTTACGGAGGAGGAGGTTCTTTTGGCACTGAGGAGTTGTAATGGTGACAACGCCCTAGGTCCGGATGGTTTCACTATGAGGTTCCTTCTGGAGAGTTGGGAGGTGGTTCGTTAGGAGGTTATGGGCACTTTTCATGAGTTCCATTCTAATGGGAGGTTCGAAAAGTCATTGAATACTTCTTTTATTGCTCTCATTCCCAAGAAGGGAGGGCAACTGACATTAAGGACTTTAGCCCCATTAGTCTGATTGGGTGTATGCTGTGTTACCTGGACTCGTCGTTTCCGGCGAGGGTGTCAGTGTCGACACGACACGGACATGGACTCGGGATATGCGTCCGACCTTGTATGGTCAAGATCGGTACACGGCCGTTGAAGAAAACTCTTATTTCAGTGGTCGAAAATTATGGTCAGAAATTAGGGATACGTTATGGTTTCATCGCGATTTTAGAAATGAGGTTTTGGAGAAAACGAGGGTTATTCACACGTTTTTTGCATAGAAACCCACCCTGTTTAGAGCGTCTTGTTCACGCTCTTACTTTTCCACTCACGCATAAACAAATTTCGGCAGCTGTCAAGCCTGTCATTGAGAAATGTAATAGTGTATATATATGGTAGTGTATATATATGTGTGGTTCTAGTATCTAAATATCTACATATATAATTATAAATATTGTGGTTAGTGGGTTACCAGTTGTAACCCACTAACTAGTCATGTTGACCGTTTGAGCAAAATGGATAGGTGGGTTATAGCTCTAACGCACATCCATTGTGCACACATTAATACATTGGGCTTGGGCTATTATTTGGACATTAAATTGTAAGAGTATTTTAATAATATAATCCATTGGGCTGGACTATTATTTGGACATTAAATTGTAACGGTGTTTCAATTATATAATACATTGAACTGGGCTATTATTTGGGCTTTCTCTTGTAAGTTATTTTCTTATTTTCTTTTTGGTTTGAGGTAAAATAGTAAAAGATAATGTGGTTGCTAAAAGAGAGAAAAACAGACTTAATAAAAAATATAAATTCAACTGGTGCAAACTAAAAGGTATACAACTGACAAGAGTACTCTCTCCTTTACAACATAAATGAAGTGTCCAAGTACCCGTGTCCGAGTTTTGGATACTTTTATTTCATATCCCCGTGTCTTATAATTTGATACATAGATGGATCCGACCTCTAGACACATACCTGTGTCCAAAACCCGTACCCGATTCCGGGTAACATAGGGTGTATGTATAAGCTGATCGCTAAAGTCTTTGCGCTTCGTTTGAGGGGGGTTTTGGATGGCGTCATTTATGATTCTCAGAATGCGTTTGTTGGGGGTAGACAGATTCTGGATTCCGCCCTTATTGGCAGTGAATGTGTGGATTTTAGGCTCATTAGCGGGATTCCGGGTGTTTTGTGCAAACTGGACATCGAGAAAGCCTATGATCATGTTTGCTGGAATTTTCTGTTTTATCTGTTAGAGGGGATGGGTTTCAGGGAGAAATGGAGGCGATGGATTGTAACTTGCGTCTCGTCTGTCAGATTCTTGGTGTTGGTCAATGGGTCCCCATCCGGGTTTTTTGGCAGCTCCCGTGGTTTGAGACAAGGGGACCCTTTCTCCTCTTTCCTGTTCATTATTGTTATAGAGGCTCTTAGTAGGTTGATGAGGAAAGCTGTGGACTTGGGGTTTATTCGGGGTTTCAAGATTGGTTTTGACGCAGCTCATCAGTTGGAAATTTCTCATTTGTTTTTCGCGGGTGACACTCTGGTTTTCTGGGAGGCCGAGGAGTCCCAGTTGAGATACTTGCAATGTGTCCTTGCTTGTTTTCAGGCAGTCTCTGGGCTGAAAGTCAACGTGGGAAAGAGTGTTATTATCCCTGTGGGGGATATTCAGGAGGTGGAGTCTCACGCAGTTGTCTTAGGGTGTAGGACGAGCTAATTTAGGCTTGCCTTTAGGTGTCTCGACAAGAAAGGTGGGAAGCTGGGACCCGGTGATTGAGCGTTTCGAGAGAAGGCTGGCAAGGTGGAAAAAGCAATACCTTTCGAAGGGGGGAAAAGTTACTATGGGAAGAGTACTTTATCTAGTCTCCTAACTTATTTCCTGTCGCTCCCCTCTGCTATTGTTGGAAGACTTGAGATGCTCCAACGGAATTTCTTGTAGGGCGGTAGAGGTGAGGAGTTTAAGTATCATCTCGTTCGATGGGAACAGGTTTGCAGACCCCTCAGGTTGGGAGGCCTAAGGATTAGGAGATTGGCCCCTTTCAATAGGGCCCTCCTAGGCAAGTGGCTTTGGAGATTCGGTAGTGAACGACATAGGTTATGGAGGAAGGTTGTTTCTTGTTGGTTTAGAGAGGAGGGGGGGATTGTCAGCTAGACCGGTTAGGTCGACTGTCGGTGTGGGGGTTTGGAAATCCATTGGGAGAGGTTGGGATGATTTCTCAAAGCATATTAGATTCAGAGTCCGGGAAGGAAGGGATATCCGGTTTTGGGAGGATGCTTGGTGCGAAGATCGTCCTTTGTCTCGTTTGTACCCGAGGTTGTTCAGGATTGCTGTTGATAGACATGCTATGGTTGCTGACTGCTATTGCCTTGATAGTGGTAGGTTGTCTTGGGATGTTTAGTTCTGGCGCTCCTTTCAGGATTGTGAGTTGGATGATGTCATTGGTTTATTGGACCTTCTGTATAGATAGGAGATGGATGGCACGGGGCCGGACTCATTGACTTGGGTGCTTTCTCCTCAGGGGAAGTTCCAAGTCCGGTCCTATTTTCACCAGCTTTCAGATTTTCGTGGATCCACCTTCCCGTGAAAAACTGTCTGGCGCTCGATGGCTCCTTTTAGGGTGGCTTTCTTTGTGTGGACTGCTGTTTGGGGCAAGATCTTGACTCTTGACAATTTGAGGAAGAGACGACATGTTATCGTTAACCGGTGTCGTATGTGCATAAATGATGGAGAGTCTGTGGATCATCTTCTCTTGCACTGTCCCGTTGCTCATGAATGCTGGAGCCTTTTGTTGGGTTTCTTTGGAGTTCAATGGGTTATGCCCCGGACCTCAAGGGATTTGATTGATGGTTGGAGGGGCCAAAGGGTGGGAGCGCGCGCTTGTAATTTCTGGAGGGTGATTCTCCTTTGTATTTGGTGGAGTCTGTGGAAAGAACGCAACCGAAGATCTTTTGATGGGGAGGGGACTTCCATTGGGGCTTTGAAGTTCGCTATTCTTTGCTCTCTTTTTAGTTGGGGCATGGGGAGAGATTGTATTTCTTTGGATGAGATTATGGACTTTTTGGGGTCGTTGGGTCCATAGATCTCATTTTCTTCTCTTTTTTCGTCTTGTACAGTCCTTGGGAAGCGTTCCCCTTTTGAATGCCTTCTATTACAATTTACTTATCAAAAAAACAAGAACAATGGAACATACATATCAATGACCTATAATGGAAGTTGGTACTTTTAAGCGTGGAATATAGCTCATCACCAAAATGACTTTGTTCTGTATGATTGGTATTGCTTATGATATTTATTATTCATGAATCTGATGGGGCCCATTTGGTCTCTTTGTGATGAATAAGCTAACTACAATAGTGAGTTCTTATTTTATTAGGCTAAGTTATTGACCTTAGTTGACATAAATGAGTTCCAAAGATCTTGAGCAAATCCAACCAATAATACACCCAAAATATTTCTAGATCCCAATACAACCAATAATACACCCAATGCCAGATAGTTGCTAGGAAGCAACCAAATATTTTGGGGATAAATACCAATTGCAAGTTCTGACGACGCAAGAAGCACTTGATCATATTACAATCAACAACCATTGTAATATTATCTGAAGAGAACAGCTACCCAGCTAACTTTTATTCTTAAATACTGTCAGTATACAGGTAGATCTCATTGTGAAAGACCTACTGGATAATTCATGAATAGAGCCAAAGAGTGAACAACATGGATTCAGGCAATGCAATGTAGTTAGACTCTAATGTGGATCCGAATGAATCATCCTTTCCACTCATTGAGCAAAGGGTATGAAATAAATCAAATGAATTTTTTGATCAAAAGTATCATGTGAAATATTCGGTTACAACAGCTTGCGAAACAAAGGCCAATAAAAGAAGAGAACATGTATGACTGGCATAACATTCATGATTGGATTCAAAAAAACATATCCTCGGGCAATTTGGATGATGAATGCTTTTAAGTAGTCGGCTTGGCCCTGAACCTATGTGCCTATGACTTTGAGGACAGGTTTGAAAGTCATTCAGTAAGATTCTCGGGAAGATAGGCAGTTACCCAAGGCACTGATATTCTGATTCTCTCAATCATATGCGTTTTAAAGAGTTTCCATCAAAGCAACTACTAGAGTATCTCCTCCTATCAGAGTAAACCAAGGAATACTAAAGAACATCCTTTGGAAGCCAAGAGGGCGATGCCCTCATGTGTAGGACGAGTGAACAACGATGTGCAAGAATAGGGGGATCTTACAATTCTTGTCGGGTTGTAATTGTAACCCTCTTCCTAGTTTGTAAGAAATATATTAATAGTTGATGAAGAAGACTCAGAGATTTTATCCTCTTATTGCTGTGGCTATATCTGATAGTATTCACCAGAGATGTATGGGGTTTATGGTCCCCAAGGATAATGTGGTGACTGCATTGAGTGATCATTGCTAATACCAGGGTGATGATATGTAACTAAGAGTGGGGGATCATAACCACCTACATGGATCACGTCCCTAATCAAGTGCCAGATATGGGCCATATCCATATGGTGGTGGAGGATTATAGCTTTGACCAGAGCTGCCGTAAGATTTAGAGGAGTCTTTATAAATAAGTCCTCAAAACTACGTATTTTAGAGGGCTACTCCTTGGATAACTCAGGCTCCCTTCGGTGCCTTCTTCTGCTAGAGTAAATAGTAAATCTACTAGGACCTCCACCGCCTTGGCTTGAAGGTTTGGGAGTTAAAGACGGAAGTGAAATATCCTCTCCTATCTATCCTGAAGAACCAATATAATCATATCCTTTGGCTCCACCTCCAGAGCCTCCATTACCATGGCCATCATCACTAGAATAAAATGAGTGCAATCCATCACTGCCTTGATCACTCTTAACTAATGAATGACAAGGTCTATTCTAAGAGTCTGGAGCATGAGAAGTGGAGGGACCAAGGTCATGAGGCTGACTAGCACGGTGACTAGTAGTAGTTTTGTGTCATGCTGTAACCCTCGTCATCATCACCCTTCCAACCAGATAATCCTGACCATCAAGTAATGGATCTTCCCTCTCCTCTAACCATGGGATCAAGAGATCCATTTCGAAATTGTAGTCAAGGTTGATGGGGTTGAAGCTATTGTCAATTTCCTGCTGACTTCTCCTATGTAAATGCCTCAACTTCAGCTTCATATCATAATGAATAGGCACCAAATGCTGAAAACTTGGAAAAACATATTGCAGTTTGTTCCTCGACCTTCTATATGGATTAGGCGCATTTGCAATTGGGTCTTTTGGCTCAGAACTTTGACTGCAATAGGTTGAAGCTCCGGAGCACTACAGCCATAAAGTACTCACCTTTCAACTGCAAGCACAAGAATTAATTTAATCAGAATTGAAAGGCAAATAGGCAAATACTCAAATAGGCAATCCACCATCTAAATTGAAACATGAAGTAATTGATTTACTAGGATTGGGATTTGTAACTGCCCTCTCTGCCAAGGGAATGCCAGAAGATTCTTTCTGCCCTTTGTACAAGGATTGGTATTTTCATCACACCACAACAAACGTGTGGAATATGTTAGGCAACATGAAATATATGGGACATGTTTAGTAGTATTTTTTTATATTGTTTTCTAAGAGAAGAAAAATGATGTGAAAAACTTGTTTGGCAGAATATTTTTAAAAATTATTGCTTAGTTTCATGATTGTGGGTCCAAATTACAGAAAGTCTTATGTTCATGTTTTCTTGTTTGTTATGTATTTTTTTTTTACATATATTATGATGTATGATCCCTGAAACAATTTACATTAGCTTTTCCAAAGGATTTACATATGTATAGAGAAAGATTTTCTTTTAATAGCATTGTTGCCTTTGAGAATATGTTGGGAATTAGGGCATAACTCTATTTTATAGATATTCAGAGCTTATTGCTTGCATCATGGAAAACGTGTTTCAGTGGAGCATATTTAAGTTTTATATATAATTACATGAAAAACTGTTTGTTAGGATATTTTTAGAACTGTTTCTGAAAAAAAAAAAAAAAAAAAAAAAAAATCCTTCAAACCTGTTTATGAGAAACTACAAAAAATTTTATGTGTTTTAAAAAATGTTAATCCATTAGAAAATGAAACGATCTGAGAGCAACCTTTTTAAATAATTCTTAATTGTTTTATTTTCAAAAAATGCAAAAAATGGAAACACTAGGATGAATACCAAAACAAACAGGACTTTAATTTTTTTTACGTAGATCCCGTCTTTTCTCTCTTTTAATTTACCTGTTTTTGTCCTTTTTCTCTTTTTACCTGTGAATTGGTGGCATATGGAAGTGAGGACTGCTTATATACAGCTGCATTGTTTGCCTGAAACATATGTACATACATATATGCCTCTCTCTTGTTATTCTGGTTTTATTTGCTCTCTTGTTTTCTCCTTGCTGGTGGCTATGGTGGATTTTTCTCCAAATTTAGAGGATGGTGAAAAATGGCTGCCTTCTGATATCTATGAAGAAATTGTCCCTGATAAATTTACTTCTGATGCTCTTGCTGATAACATCGCAAAAACATGTGCTGCATGGGTTTTAGATGAGCCGATCGGATCTGATTTCGAAATTTCATCCAATGTATTCTTCAATTCTGATTTCTTTTCTTTTGTTCTAAGAAAGTAGATTCTTATTAATCATGATTGTGAAGCCTTATAACCCTACCCTCATTCTACTTTACCTTCCTTTTTTTGTTGCAATGAGATTTTGGTTTGAATATATTGGTTATCTGAATAATTCAGGTTATGTTGAATTCTGTCTAGGGTTATCTTGGTGCTAATGGAGTTCCCTGTGATAGCAATCTATGTCCATTTCAATCAATATCTGGATTCAAATCTCCCTATAGTTCTGATGCACAAACTCAAGTCCAGGTAGAAATCTAGAGAGAATCTATCAGTTTTCGTTTATTAACTAATGAAGGTCATATATAGTCTTTATTTTAATTAAGGTCAAATAAGTAATTTATAAAATAAAACAATCTCTTCTTTAAAACCGATCACATCATCTGGTAAAGAGCAATGGCTGGATACATTGTACACCATGCATTTCCTATGGAAAACGACAAAATGGCAATCCATGGATTCTTTCTTTCTTTGATTTTTTAATTTAATTTTTCCTTCACTTATTTATTTTGTGCAGTACTGGACTTATTCTATTTTTGAAGTGTTGTGATAGTTTGTACTATTTTCCATGTCATAGGTTGAGAGCTTTAAGCATGCAGTAACCACTATTTCGAAGGAGAAACAAAATCGATTTTGGCCGGTTCATTTGAATGAGGAAGTAGAGGGTTTTGTTGGTTCTAGAGGGACTGGTGTCTTTCTTCCGCGCATTACAATCCATGCGAAGGAATCTGAACCGGTTAGAGGAACTGGTGTTTTTCTTCAACCCTCTGTTGCAGATGCAACCACTGTTTTGCGCAGAAAGAGAAAAAGTAAGTTATGAATTTAAAGCAGCACAGGCATGCAAATTTGTCAAAAGTAGATTTTCTTTATTTGAATAAATTTAAAATCTTATATAATCTGTCTTCCTCAAAGTGTCTTATATATAGAGTTAATGCATCCTGATTTGTGCCAGTCTGGCTTATAGAGATTTAGTTAACCTTCTAAGCATGACTTCTTTGAGATAATAGCTTCATTGCTGGAGCTCCGTTAGCATTTATAAAACCATTATCCTTACTTCACAAATTTTATTGCTTTGACATGTGAGAATTGTGTTCTAAGATATCATACAACTCACAAGATCTCATTAGACAAACATTTCGATATTTCACCTTAATGAATACTTTGAGATTACATTCTAGATGATGATATAAATGCATTTGAAATGAACAAATATAAAGGCTTACATACATTAGTAGAAAAAATTGCATACTGAAAAACCCAGCCGATAAATTGGAATATATCACAATAAATTTGGACTTAAAAAATAATAGCTAACAATAAAGATAAACTAGATAATTTGAGAGGTATGAAATATTTTTGTTGGTTAAATTTTGTAAATTTCTTTGCCATGTCTAAACTATGTATATCAAATTTCTACCGATCAAATATCAACAAATAGTAATTTACTAAAAACTTGTTTAACAAAACCTAGAAGGTTTTATCATTTTTCATCTCCTCTCTCTTTCTTTCTAGGACTAAATATGTTATTTTTCTAATTTTCTTTTTCCTTTCAATCCAATGGTCCCCAACTAAATAAACATAGGGGGCCAACTAAATAAACATAGGGGGCTAAGACTCTTGTATAAAATAACTACCGGCTGTCATATAATTTTTTTTTAAGTCCCCTTCACTAGGCAATATAAAGATAACAACTAGATATATTTTGCATTTGATTCTTATAGAATTTCATCTCTTGTACTCATTCTGCATTAGTATAGCTGAAAATCATATGATTGGTGCTCATTCTTTTCTTTTTATTTTTATTTTTTAAAATTATTTTTTATTAGTAAAGTTAAAGCTCATTCATATTCTTGACAAGCCGTAATCCTTGCTTAGTTGACTGAGGTCCTATATCTCTGTTGGAAACCTAGTACAATCCAATCGACAATGGCAAGACATTTCCTACTGCTATATTAAAAAAGCCCTAAAAACCAAGCAGGAGTAATAAAATAAAGCTCTAAGATGCTGCAAGAACTTTTTTTTTGATAAGTGACAGGCTGCAAGAACTTTGACATGTTGATTACAACCATGTACTTGAAGAAAAACATTCTAGTACAACTATAAATGTAAACATTAATGAATTACATATTGAAAATATCCTTTTACATTTCCTGTTGATAGTTACAAATTTAAATCGATTAGAAAACCCTCATGTTCTCTTTTGTTTTCTTATTTTTAGGTGGGAAGACTGGGCAGGGGACTGAAAAGATATCTGTCACCAAAAAAGAAACTCCGCAAAAGAAAAAGTAGTCTCAACTTTCAACTGTAATCTGTTTACCTCTAGAGATGTAATGAACTCTCCTTAGAAAGAAGTGTATTAGAGAGTAATAAAAAATATTATGGAATAAATGTTTAAAATAGAACTCCCTTGTATTGGAAAATTAAAAAGTGGAATGAAGTGAATAATTAATTTTGAATAAAATCAGTTGCATGAAATGGGCAATTAGAGGCTTTTCTAATTTTCAAATAGATAAGATTGACCAATAAGAACTCCCTGATAACAGATCAGACTCAAATTGATTGAAATACATTAAAAACTGATTTCTCCTACATGACTAAGAACTTAAATAGAATAGAATGGAGCCACCCTCCAGTTACATGTAGATTCCAAATTAGATATTAAGTTCTAAGGGTCTGTCAACTATCCTGTCTAAGTATGGAGTTAACATCTCCATTCTTTATAATAAGACTGACATATCTTGTTTTTTTAGATTACACAGCACGAATATCAATCACATTGTCAGTTTGTTTATGACCTTTCATGTAAGATTGCAACTTGTTATCACATATGGCATTGTTTGATTTAATTTTATACTAATGGTAGACACATGCGCTTCACATAGACACTTCACCATCACAAGTACAAGGTTAGGCATGTGAAGGTCAAATTTATGATTCCGTGCATCAACGTTCTAATCAAAATGGTTCTAAAAAGTGCATTTTGGCATCAACGTTCTAATCAACTTGTGGATTTTTTGGTAGGTAAGAAATATAGGCACACACTCACACACCCCATACTTCCCCATGTGGGGCTCGAACAATTCACCTTCCCTTTTGGGAGGAGAGCTTATACCACCTGCGCCAATGGCCCGGTAGTCTTCTACAATGAAATTTGGTAAGTGAGATTTTGAGTAAGTGCTTACAATTCTTTACTTGTATCATAGTTGTCCAATTGTTGTTTTATACCTCTATAGACTTCTATAAGTAATACAGATGGACATAGATAGATATTGTAACTAAAACCTACATTATGATTAGAAATATTTTGACAGTTTGATGCCATACATGGAATTATATCAACTTTAAGGGGAAAGTTAAAAAAAAAAAAAAAAAAACCTGTTATATACAGAATGTGCAAATCTGCCCTTGGTGTTCAAAAACTCCCTTTACCGTTTTCAAATTGAGCAAATAAGGACATTTTGTCATTTTGAAAACTGAAATACCTAAAATGCCCTTAAGACAAAAATAAAAAATAAAAAACACTGATTTCACAAAACGGTGAATTCTTTGTCTCCATTCTTTTCTATTACACTCACTTCACCTACTATGTTTAACATTAATTATTCCATATACTTCTCTTTCCTTAGCTATCCAAATAGGAGGAGGGGTAACATTGTCCATTCCTATTTTTCTTTCTTACCTAACTAATGCTATCATTTTCTTTAATTTCCCATTATTCAAACGCATGTAAAGTAACAAGTACAAATTTTAGTCCAGATGAATTGAACTCGAATTCTTTTCACGTGACAGTGATTCACAAATGCACAGGGTGGAATTGACAAGTAGCACAATTTATATGGCCTAACCATGATCTAGGTCATCTGACATTGTGACACGCATCATCATCTCAGAACAAAAGCATCAAATTTAGATGTCTCGTACCGTCTTACGCAACGTGTTGCAAACACACGGGTGCACACATATGTTTTTATATATCCTGCCTTCTAATACCTGTCATCATTAAAAAACCAAAGTATGAAATTTCATGTCTCTGACACAAGTATTTGCGACAATTTTTTTTATTCTTTTATGCATGCGTGTATATCCTGTCTTTTTGTCCATTCTCTCTTTTCACTCCTTACTACTGTAGCAGCGTCACAGTAATTGAAAAACGGCTGGTTATATATAGCAGCATAGTCCCCTGAAATAAATTTATATATTCTCTCTATTCTCTCCTTCTCTATTGTGTCTTGCTTGCTCTTGTTTTTCTTTGTGCTGGTGACCATGATAGAATTTCCTCCAAATTTAGAGGATGGTGAAAAGTGGCTGCCTTCTGATGTCTATGAAGAAATAGGCTCTGATAAATTTCCTGTTGAATCTCACATTGATAACATTGATAAAGAATGTGTTGCGATGGTTATTGATGAGCCGGTGAAATCTACAGAAGAAATTTCTAATTATGTATTCTTCGATTCTTGCTGCTTTCTCTTTTTTCTTTCCCTTCTTTATTTTTTATTATTTTTTTCCCAGTTGGTAAAAGTAAGATATTTATGAATCATGATTGCGAAGCCATATCTATCCTGCCTTCATTTTATTTTACCTTATTCTTTAATGTTGAGATGAGAGTTATGCATTTATATCTATCCTACCTTCATTTTGTTTTACCTTTCCCTTCATGTTGAGATGAGACTTTTGCACTTGTATATATGTGTATATATACAGTAAGCTAATTAATTTGGATCATGTTGAACGATGTCTAGGATTTTCTTGGGGCTATAGGATTTCCCCTTGATTGCAATCAGTTTGCATTTCAAGCAGGTCTTGGATCACTTTCCCTGTACAGTCGTAATACACCAATTCTATCTAGAGAGTTAAGGAAATATCAGAATTTTTTCACTGAATGACATAGGTTATTTACAGTCTTTTTTTCATAATAATTATTAAAAAACATACAAAAATTAAAAAAAGTCCCTTACCTTTATTCAGTTAGTAAAGGGCAAGGATTGGACACAACAATACATCACACATAACCTATCAAGAAAAGAGAAACTAACATTCATATTTTTGTTTTATTTATTTATTAATAATATTTTCTTCCATTTATTTATTTTATTTGGAAAACTTGTCATACTATAGTCTGGATTTGGTGATAGTTTGTATTATGTTTGTCATCATAGGTTGAGAACTTTGAGCATGGTAGCGATTTGCAGGAGCAGCAAAACGACTTTCGGGCAGTTCATATGAAGGCAGAGGAAGTGAAGGGTTTTGTTGGTTCTACTGGGACGGGTGTCTTTCTTCCCTCTGTTGCAGCCATTACAAAGGAAGCTAAACCAGTCAGAGGGACAGCTGTTTCTCTCCATCCCTCTGTCACAGATGCAACCGCTGCTATGCTCAAAAAGAAAAAGGGTAAGTTACAAATCTCAAAACTGTTAACTCAACAATATTTTTTAATTTTTTTAATTTTTTCTGATAAGTGTGAACTTGACGAATTTTCAAAAGCAGATTTGGTTTTATCTGTTCAAAGAATCCAAAGCATTCATATCTATTATCTTCTCCACATTGTTGCATATGCAGTGATACTAATCTCAGATTGCATTAATCTTCTAAATCTATCTTCTTTGTGATAATGGGTTTCTTACTAGAGAGGAGGTTTCATTTATTTAGTTATTATCCTCCTTATCACATCATTAATGCATTTAACAATGTGGTGGTTGTGACATGTGACTCATGATTTAAGATACCGCGAAAATAACATGACTTGTGGATACAAAGTTTGAGATTACATTATAGAGGACATAAATGCGTATAATCTCAATAGAAATAAAGGGCCTTTTATAAATTGGTGTTCAAAAAAGGTATTTAAGTTTAGTAAGTAAACATGTGAAACCAGGACAATCAATATACTAGCTAATCGGGGGGTCTCATACGAAACTTCTACTAGTCAGGGATAGTTCAGGTTCCTGGCTGAGCGAGGCGTAGGAGTGAAGTTGGTTTTCCGAATGAAGCAATAAAGAATGATGGTGCTTTTATAATTTTTTTGTCCGAAAGACTGTAGGTTTTTCTACTGGGGAACATAAAAAGGCCAGTTCTATCCAGTCACCTTCGCCATTAGATGTACCCAATTCTAATATGACAAGAACACAATTCTTTCTGCTTTCATTTATTTTACCCAAAAAAGAAATAAAAAAATTTCTGCTTTCATTTGATTATTCGACTATAGCATATCTACCTCAGTACTCTGTTTTGGTCGCTGATCATGTGGTTTGGTTCTATCGTTCTTTGTTGACAATGATCATCCTTGATCTCATGAATGAGTGGATTATGCATGATGAGATTGCAAGAGCATTGATATATTTCACAAAAAAAAAAAAGAAAAAAAAAAGAAAAAGAAAAATGCTAGTAGGATTGTCAAAGGTAAATTTCTAAGAATTTTGCATTATATTTTTGCTCTGAATATTTACCTTTTTTTTTTCCTTTTTTTTTTTTTTTTTCAGGTGGAAAAAGTAAGCAAGCGAAAAAGATGTCCGTGGCGAAACAAGGATGCTCAGGGAAAGAGAAGGTTGTCTAAACTTTGATATGGAATCAGTGTACCTCAAGAGTGGACAAGCTGAACTCAACTTGTGAGAAATAGACTCCCTTGTATTGGAGAATATAATAAATAAAATTGAATAAATGTTTTTAATGGAACTCCCTAGTATTGGAAAACAATGAAGGATCAAAATGGTGTTGATGGTTTGATTAAATGCTTATCTAATTTATACTTTCTCAAGTCATACCACAGGATGGAAAAATTAAGGGAGATTTTGTCCCCATTGGTAACTTGAAGTACCTCAAATCCATAAAGAATTGAAATGATTGAGAATATTCGCTTAAGAATTCTGGATTTAAGTTCCATTTTTACTGTTCACAGCCTATATATAGGTAAAATAAAACCTGTACCAGGTGGTATTCACCTGAAAATCATACAATTTCATCATGATTTTTAGGTGGTGAAGCAAAAATCTCTCCCTTTGGTGGGTCAGAGGTCGAGCAGGTTAAGGTGTGTTACCCTCAACCAGAGAAGATATTTTGAAAACAAATGGAGAACCGACCGCTTCACTATGCACTGTAGTCGAGGGACTCACCCTCCCAACCCATTGCATTGTACAAATGCTCCACTCATTGCATCTTATGGGAGGAACGGGAGTGCTTCTGGGACTCACTCTTTGAACCCATTGCATTGTACGAACGCTCCACTCATTGCAACTTACGAGAGCGTTCCTTTTCAAAGTAAAATGAATTATTCCTCAACATATGTCACTTGACAATCACTTAAGCTTCATATGGATTTATGAATAGATTTGAAATGAATATATTTTAATGTCACTTGACAATCACTTAAGCTTCATATGGATTTATGAATAGATTTAAAATGAATATATTTAATTAAAAACAAAATATCGTTTATTCAAGTCAAAGGAATAGTAGATTAGAGGCAGGAAGAAAATCCTTGCCCACATGATTTCAAATGGTACCTCGAAATACATAACTCTCTCGAATTGTTGCTAAAATTTAAATTTTAGTCACTCATTTCAAATTTATGTTCTAATTTTTTAAATGACTGAACATAAATCCATTTTTTTTAATTTTAAAACCATTCAATTTAAATGGAGCCTTGATGTCACTGCCAGCCTGGGTTGAGTCTTTCACAAGCCTGTGGGCAAGGATTGTGCATTATGAGTCCTTAAATATAGGGGCCACGTGTCACCACTCCCTATGCTTTTTAACCTCACACAAAACAAAATATAGCATTTTGACCGAGTCCTGTCAGTTGTGAAGCCCACCACAACTTTAACTTGTAAGGTCCACCATAATTGTGTCAAACAACTGACTTAGTCCCATATAGATGTAAGGTCCACCACAATGGTAGGTTGTGAGGTCCAACATAGCGTGTCAGGGTAGTGAATTTTATATAATATATTTTTTAAGAGATAATATTTAGTTGGGTCAAGTGCAAAAAATACTCTTATAGTATACATGTAGTGCATATTGCATCCCTCTCGTGTAAAAAATATCCCTAAACTATGACATTTGTACAAATAGGTCCTATTTATAAAAATTGGACTAAGATACCCTTAGTAACATATTTTATAATATATATAAAAATATATATTTTGTGAAATGACTAAAAAGGGCTTGGCCCTTCTTCTTCTTCATCTTGGTGGTTGCCAGGGAAGCTAAGACTGGAGAAGATACATATATACACAGACATATATATACAAATATATATACACATATACACAGGCATAAATATATATATATATATATATATATATATTTGTTGTAAATTTACATATTACACATATATACACAGACAGATATATGCATATACACGTCGCCGAGGAGGGAGTGAGAGGTTGATGTCGCCGGGAGGGGATAAAGAAAGAGGCGTCTCCGGGGAGGGAGATAAAGACGGAGGCGTCACATGCTCATGGCCGAACCCAGTTGTCACCGGCGGCGAAGGATAGACCGGATTGTGACTGCGAGGGGGTCCAAGGAGTCCTCTGCTTCTGGGTTCACCACCGGTGATCTTCAACCTAGCCACCTGTCCAGCCGCTGCGTTAATTAGACTCCAAGTGTCGTCGGCGGCGACGATACCTGAAAAGGACCGTTTGGGCTTCCATTGTTAGACTAGCTTCCGATTCCACTGAGAGTCGATTGAGGCGATCCGGATAAGACCTATGTCTTCTGAGTTAACACAAACACCGAATCTGAACATATTCTCATGAAATTCATGACAAAAACCAAGCAAAATCAAAGATTATAGCATCATACCTCGATATTTTGGGGACGAGGAGTGTTTTTCTGAGTTTCTTGCAGAGTGGGCCAAGTCAACTGGTGAGTCAGCGCGGCGAGGAAGTCCTCGTTACTCTCAATCTCCGTCGAGCTAACCACAGACTAACCGGCGGACAGCGACGACAAGTCAGGATTCCTGTATGGCGAACGGCGGCGGTAGACTATGGTGATGTGGGGTTTGCGAATGGGTCTTACAACTTTTGGTGGTTGGCTCTATAGGCTAGATTTTGGTGTTTGAAGAATTTGGTTTGGTTGGCAGTGGTTATGTGTATATATATAATTTGTAAATTTACAATAAATACATATATCTATCTGTATATTTATGTCTGTGTATATGTGTATATATATTTGTATATATATGTCTGTGTGTATATATATATATATATATATATATATATATATGTATCTTCTCCGGCCTTCCCTTCCCTTGGCGACCACCAAGATGAAGAAGAAGAAGGGCAGAGCCCTTTTTAGTCATTTCACAATATATATATATATTTATATATATATTATAAAATGTGTTGCTAAGGGTATTTTAGTCCAATTTTTATAAATAGGACCTATTTGCATAAATGTCATAGTTTAGGGGTGTTTTTTGCACACCTTTTTAAATAAGGGGTAAAAGTGCTATAAAAAGTATACTTTAGGGGTGTTTCTTGCATTTTCCCCTATTTAGTTCCACTACCAATAATAAATGATACCACATTTTTAATTATCAAATTAGATATGGTAGGATATATACTCACTTACCGAATCACAGATTTTAAATACATACACCTTCTTTGATTTGGTAATGAAAAAATACGAATAATATTTAGTCCTCTCTAGTGAGGATTACATCATAATGTAGACTAGTAATAAATGGACACATCCTATTTTAATTATCAAATCATAGAACCCCACCGTATTGAATTGATAATTAAAGATGACATTTTCATTTATTATTGGTCCACATCAGCTGTCAGTATGGTGTCGATACTCACTAGTGAGTGCCTAAGTATTGTTTGAGAAAGGTATGTTCATATTTTATTAGTTCATATTAATTATGAGAACGGTATACATCCTCACTGATGAAGATCTAAGTATTGTCTTATTTTTCAAATAATAATAATAACTCACTTCGTAAAATTTTCCACTTGAATGAACGGCATTATTTGGTGCCATGTACACCTTAGGGCATTTGTTGTGATGCGAAAATGGTGAGCGTGGCATTCGGCGTGGGACTCATCACACAACGATGGGTAACAGACTCACTAGTCTCATTAATTTTTAATTAGTACTATGTCGATTGACTAAGCTGGTCACTTTAAGTGGCTAGCCATATTAGTCGAATGTGGCACCGGAATGACTTTAGGTAGCCCATAGTTTGAAGGACATTATGATGAATGTTGGGTATATTTTTGTTAGAACGAGACCAATGGGTGCCACTGAACAGGGTCATGCGCATAGGACATGACTCTAGTATGGGATAGAGTGTAGCGACCAGTAGGGGAGTGTCACCAAGTGATAAGCATTAGTATAAAACTGTGGATAAAATTGATACTTCCTACCAAATTATAACGGTATTGTTGAGTGTAGACTTTTTAGGTATTTCAAACAATATTCTCCTATAATTGAATAAACTTTACGAGGTGTTAGTATAATTTATATTTAAAAAAAAAAAAATAATTTAGACTTGGGAGTTCAATTTTCAACTAAACAAAATTGGTGTGTGAGTTATTTGTAAAAAATAATTAAAATACAAAGTACTCTAAAACCTATTTCAGGAGGGGTGGACGTTTCCATGGAGCCCATTGGGCCGTGTAGGTTCGTCCATGATTTTTTTTTTTCCCTAATTAGTATTCACACACACACATATAAATTTTCTTTTTATATTTGCAAAAAAATACATTGACACAATTATCTCTTTAAAACATAAAGAAGTACCACTAGACTATAATCTTAATGAATTGCTGTAGAAATCCGACCATCAAAGATTTATATATAAATATAATCATGAAATTTTGATGGTATCACCTGGAGCCTAACATTACTGTTTATACAAAAAAGTGCCAAATGGACATGCTTTGTGAAACCTAAAAAGAAGTCACTTGCTACATTCTGGATGTTTTGTAAAACATGACCAATAGAACTACCCAACATTTTGATTTCCCAGGTTTTATCTACAACACTAGCATATAACCAAAACACTGGCAATAGAACACATTACATACTTTGAATAAGAGCTACCTTTATTAGATTATGGACTAAAAAAAAATAGGTATACCAGTTTGAGTCATATCTTCGCTCGAAAATATATATATATATATATATATACACACACACATATATACCGAATGACTTACACCTCCTTAATCCACGGCCTATGTAAGTCAAACCAATGGAAAGAGGCTACAAGGTTGTTGAATGAAATGGTGAGCAGAAATATCAAACCGAATGTAAGGTTACACTATGCTTATAAAGAGAGAAGAAAAATTGACAAGATTATCACAAGTTTGCTCCTTGCCCTTTCCCCCTCCTTTCCCTTATCTTCTTCCTCCTTGTTCTTTTCCTTGGAATCCCTCTTCTCATCCTCCTCGTTTTAATTGAGCTTAGCAGTGGGTGTTACTTTCAAGTTTGCATTTCTGTAGTTATTAATGTTTGTCGTATTAATTGAAGTTTTCACTCCTAAGCTCAATTAAAATGTTATTCTAAACTGAAACTAAAAATAGAAGTAAATTCAAGATTTAACTGAGATATAAAGTACTACAAATTAATACATCTAACGGTCTAACTTTACCTACTTGTGCATTAGCCCCAAAAAAACATGGCAACGAATGAAGAGCCAACACACCAAATGGAGAGCCGGACACTTAAAGCGTTAAAGATTATCATATACATGCTAAAAAGTTTACCCCATTATAATCAAAGTTTGAGTCTGATAATCAATGGATCATTACCGAGTACAGTGTAATATATTCTGAGTGACAAACTTGAAAAAACAAGTTTGATTTGAGAACGGTAATTTGTGCAAATTATTGTCAATTGCATTATGGATTTAAAATTGTGGTGACCACCCAACACTAGCTACCGTTCCCTAAATTCATCTACCAATGGGTAAGCATTGGAAAATATCTGGAAATGGGAGATACACATGAGAAATAGTCAAATAAAGGTAACAGAAGAACATGATTTTAAATTATAATTAACAACTACAAATGTAAACAAACTCTATAGAGATCAAACCAGTTTCTCATACTTGAAATTTACAGCAAAATTACAACTATTGCTCCGTTAATACAAGGGGCAAAACAATTTACTTGTTCATAAATCATTTTTTAGATAGAAAATGATTTATAATTTGAAAGTTGGACAAACTCCTATCGATTTATGTGAGAAGATGCTGATATCATCATGACGTCATGATGGCATCAACCTCTACTTATATGAAATTAGTCGAATTTATTTGACTATCGAACTCTCTTGTCATAATGATGCATGTAGCCACTAAAACAGACTTTCTAATTAAGAATTGTGCTACTAATTGCGAATGATAAACAAGATTCAAGTAGCCACTAATGCACAATTGGGACAAGACTTTGTTGAGTTGAGTTATTCATTCACGTTTGATCTTTCAATTAGGGCTCATCCCAAATAAAAGGTTCTAAAGACCTGATTAAGGAAGATAAAAGCATAATAAGGGAACAAGAATAATTGTTCTAAATTTTTTTTTTTTTCCTACAATAGGAAGATGATCTGTTTTCCCAATGTCACTTTGTGGATGTCTTTTTTTATGCAATTCACCAATGTAAACAAGATTTATATATTGAGTTAATCCCTACAAATTTTGTCCACAAAACATCGTCAAATAAAATATAAACCTATACAAACATGAGAGTGACCATGCTAATTCTATAATTGAGCTCCACACAATTATCCACAAAGACTGAAAGATAAACTCTGTGTTTATTCAAGAATGGTCCGAATCTATATATCAGAAAGTTAAAAGGCAATTAATTACAATACAACCTTAGCTATTTGATATTAGTACTCATTACATTTACATTTTTGAAATTTCACAAATTATATATATTTTTTTACCAAAATAAAATATGTACAAATAACGAAGGACCAAAGTTTATACTTTCCAACCAAATAAAACAAAAGAAAAAAAACCAAACTTTATGCAGAAATGAGATTTGATAAAACCCTATGAGTTGCAAGAAAGAGTGACCCTTGTCTAAAAATCCCAGCTTAAGGTTTGAAAAAAAAAATGCAAATTTTTTCAAAAAATAATGATAATAGAACACCTGAGTGTTTTGTAATTGCATTTTAACAAAACACTCGGAAAACAAATGTGAAGATGTTTTGGTGATCCACATGTTTTAGTATGTACCACATTTAATTCTAAAAAGATTGCATTAATAAAATTAAAGATTTGTCCCTCCTTATGTACCACATTTGAATATAAAAATATCACAATAATAAAAATAAAGATTTGCCTATTTTTATGCTTATTGCAATATTTAAAAGAAAAATGATTTTTTTTACCGAATAGTTGAAGTGAATTGCTAGATCTACTTTTTTAATTGGTCAATTATACAACAAATAAGGAAGTAAAACCATTCACTTACTTGTATTTAGTATAAATAGCTAATTAAAAATTATTCGATTACATAATTCACTGCAATTATTCGGTGTAAGTATTACTCAGATTTAAATAAACTCTTCCTTCCATAAAAACTTTGTAGTTGTATTTTTCTATTTACAGGTCAAGAGGTTTCATATTGTAACAACTATGGAATTTTGTATATGTATTTTTTAAATAGATTTCTCTCCTAAAGTGTCAACAAATTCAAATGACACAATCAGTTTATTGTAACAAAATTAAATTTCAATTTAAATAATATTACACCCTGGTTAAAAAAAAAGTTAATTTTGACTCTATTTTAACACCATCTAATATAAATGTGCAAAAAGATAGATTAGTGCAATCTTTAAATCAAAGTCAAAGATCTTTTTAATTATTCCCTTCCGTCCAAAATAGACGGTTACTTTGGAAATTGTGTTAGTAACCATCTATTTTAGGACGGAGGGGGTATGACTTATGAAAGATATATATATTTTTTTCTTCATATACTTCATGTCATATCAATCAATCCAACATAATTATGTTATATACTCAACCCGGACACGCCATTTTAATAATGGTGTCAAAAACTCTAATCACACCATCACACCATTTTAATAATAGTGTTAAGAACTTTTATCACAAACATCACTTGTTTTTTTACATGACTGACTTGACAGGATCACATAACTTGTTTAATAATAAATCATGTAATTTAGGATGCAATACTACCTACTTAGTAACTTATTTAATTCGTTTAAATTAAATAGGTCGTGTAACTTGTTTTAAGTATAAAAT